AATCAAACATTAAACAACCATTAATTTAAACAATGAATCAACAATTATTCAACAAAATTTTGTAAAGTAAACAATTAATCAACCATTAATCAACCATTAATAAACCATTAATCAACCATTAATCAACCATTAATCAACCATTAATCAACCATTAATCAACCATTAATCAACCATTAATCAACCATTAATCAACCATTAATCAACCATTAATCAACCATCAATAAACCATTAATCAACCATTAATCAACCATTAATAAACCATTAATCAACCATTAATAAACCATTAATCAACCATTAATCAACCATTAATCAACCATTAATAAACCATTAATCAACCATTAATCAACCATTAATCAACCATTAATAAACCATTAATCAACCATTAATCAACCATTAATAAACCATTAATCAACCATTAATCAACCATTAATAAACCATGAATCAACCATTAATAACTATAACCATAACTATAACCTATATGTAACCCTTGGGACACTGAGTTCGGGGTAGCCCCGACTTCGGATCTCCGGGCACCCAGGCTCGATGCTTTTGCTCCTGATCATCCCCATGGCAATGGTGAGGATAGGATATGGTTTCTATTCAGGATACGGTTAATATCTATTAAGGATATAATATCAATTGAGGAATATGTCCTATAATTATCTATAATTAATTTATGTTTTAACATGTTTTATATAACTACTAATTAATGAATGGTTATGACTCGACTTTTGTTCATTTTTTTGTCTGGGTAATCCACATCCTATGGCAACAACAAAAAGTGGCCCAGTTCTTATGACTACAAACATATCCTATGTTTCTAGAACAGTACACCGAGTCACAGATTGGGATGGAAAGTAAGAAATGATTGAGAAGATCAAACCGTTCGCCGGGTCTCAAAAAAAAAGCCACAAACACCTGATCTAGAAAAGTCCAACCAGTTTCCAATTCTCTAGATGGTATTGTTCACCACGGCAGAACAGCAGCTGATGATTGCCAAGTTCGGATCTGAGACGAGCGATGGTTTCCCCGAAAAATCACCATCTGTAGGTGGTATAAACCATCCCCAGTCATGGTAGGTTTATTGGCTTTCCCACGTCAAAAAGAGGCTGTATGATGCACCGATCTTGCTAGGCTTGATGGGTTGCCTTGGCCATGATTTCCCTATCCTATCCATCCCTGCTCAATATCTGTATATCCAGAATGATCATGAATTCTCCACATATATTCTGGTTGATGGGTTTAACCATCTTGAAAAATCTTGAAAAAGATGAGTTCGTCAATGGGATTGATGACATCCCTTTTTTATAAAATGGAAAATAAAAAATGTTCCAAACCACCAACCAGTTTCAACCTGTCAAACTGACCTGACCAATACCTGACCTATGCGTTCAATCTTCCAAAGGCCTGCCATGACAAGCATTGCCTGCGAAACATCGGTCAACATCGGTCCTCTTCCGGCAATCCAGATAGGGCCTGAGCATCTTTGACCATCCAGGAATCATCCATTTTTCAGGAGGTCATCGGTCCATTTCTTGGTGTTTTATCCATGTTAAATATTTGTGCGTTTTCCAGTCCCTCTCCCAATCTGGTCCCATCCCCTATGAAATAGCCCTTAAGGGATGGTCCTCAGGGATTAAGCGTTGAACTTTTGGATTTCCTGGCGAACTTTTTTCCATCGTGGATTCGACCAAAACTGGTGAAGCGACATCCAGGCCGGGTGAACATCTCAACCAAGTGATCCCGTGAAAATGATCGTAAAATGACCTTGCAGGAAGATGAAAATGCATAACTGGTTGGTGGTTAAAAACCATCTTGAAAAATATGAGTTCGTCAATGGGAAGGATGACATCCCATATATGATGGAAAATAAAAAATGTTCCAAACCACCAACCAGATGACCTTGTCAGCTTCTAGCGGAATCGGACTCCAGGTGGCTGAATCAGAAATCCTTCAGGCGCAGTTCCGAGAACCATAGCTCTACCTGCCACATCCGGCGCCGCATCCCGGCCTCCCATTTGATGAGCTGCTGCTCCACACGCAACCACATGGGGCATCTTAGCTCGGTGCCTTCGAGGTGTCATTCTGAAGTCATGGCTTCAGATGAAAAATGGTGGTGTTATAGTGGTGCTTAAGCATGTGTAAGCCACAAATCTGGGACTTAGCCTTCAGTAAACCAACAGTTTGCGTAGTCATTTCACATCATTTTTTGTGGGCAGATAATGGAGATATCATATATCACATCTTATATGCAAAAACAATGGGAGTGCCCCTCCGGTCATTTGTTACATGGCCATTTGTCAAGTCACCATGTTTTCCCGGTATCAGAGGCTATGTCCCAGAGGATCACCAAAGCTCTGTCACGGAACCATCCCTGGGATGCTTGAAGCGGCCTCTCCAACTCCTCCTGTCAAAACATACCGAAGCTGCATGGAACTGAAATAGACATTCATGAATAGATATGACAGCAACACAACATTGTATCAAACACTGTATATATATACTATTAGACTTTGTTGGAATATGCATCGCAAGCCTATATGAAGGCGATATAGTTTCAGCCAGTCATTCTCAAGGCTTGAGAATTCATGCCCTGTTTGACTTGGTGAAAGCGCCATGTGTTTCTTCGGGAAATATCTGTTGCAATCACTGGTTTCTTTTCGATGTTGGATGGACGTTGCCTGCGACAACGATGGGTTCCTGCTTGTACACAAAAACTATGAAGAAATGTATCCCTCCAGGTCAAAGACCTCGTAAAACTTGGCCTTTTAACTTTGCTGAAAGGGACCTACTATTACTTGATGAGGACCTACTATTACTTGGACCTTTTGGGTCCAAAGTTAAGATGATGGCCATGGATGTCCAACAGTAATATATAAGATGCATAAACCCATAATTGTTGACCTAAATTTCAGGATAGCCACATCCCTTCACCGACCAAATATCCAATTTGCGGTTTATCATAGGGTACCCCACACTATTTTATCATTGGGAGTCCAGGGCTGGAACCACCACAAACCTATGGTTTTTGAATTATCAGGGGCCCAGAATCGCTAGCGTGAACCGAGCGTGAACCGAGCGTGAACCGGACCAACTATGACCGGCAAAAGACCAACTATGACTGGCAAAAGACCAACTATGACCGTGAACCGAGCGTGAAACCCTAGGAACAATTTTTTCAGCGTGGAAATTTCTGCCAAACATATAATTTCTTGAGGGGAAACGCCACGAATTTGCTTTGCATATGCTCCGGAATGTCAGCCTTAGTGGCTGTTCATTGCAACTTGGAAAGGCCCATTCGGGGCTATGATCCGTAGGTGATTGAATGCTTCCCAATCATGCATCAACAGCTTCAAATGGGGTTCAAGTCAAATTCAGCATTGATGGGAAAAAGGGCTGAGCTCTATAAAACCAAGTAAACCAGAGGACCTCGTAAAACTTGGTCTTTTGCAAAAGACCTCGTAAAACTTGACCTTCCGACTTGCAGGGTATATATATATTTGCTATGTATATTATATATATATATATATACGTACACAAAACTATACATTATACCTGCTACGTTTCTGAAACATTCATGGCTTAACCATTTTGCAAGTCCAAAGTATCATAATGCTGGAATTCATGCATATTCCTACTTCAGCTGGAATCAGCCAAATTTCCACGTCACGCTGACAGTCAAATAACTTATTTTACCCACCATCATAGCCGTAGTTTTTTAGTGATAATCCACAATTAGCCTAAAAAAGGTAACCTACAGCCTAGGGCTAAAATGATTTCTGGGTCATCTACCCTCTTGTAATCAACCATGGCAATGGAAAAATGTTTGACTTCCGTCAAGGTAGGTTTCTCTAAATTAGAACTTGGATTTGCTTTAACCCCCCAAAAAAATATAGATCTTCCCTTGATCGATTCCCAATTTGTTTGTCGGATGTCCCGTTTGCCAAAGTGCACCCACCTGGCGGGATAGTAGCCGCTGCGTGCTGCTGACCCCAAGATCAGCCTGACACGACGGAACTCGGGATGACAAGTCGCGAATGTTGATCGCGGCAGTTGGTCAACGGGTGGTATGGTACGGCAGTTGTAAAGGTGACTCTTTTCTTTATGACTGTGACCATGGTTTTAAAAAAAGTTGGGATAAAACCCCTATAACGATGATAACCATTGTTAAAAAAACCAAAGTTGGGATAAAACCATATAAAAACCCTATAACTATCGTTCTGTATCCACAACTGGAACTATCTGGAACTGCGTTTCCTGGGTTAACGGCATCAGCATCAAGAGTATCACCATCTCCCCACGATCATCCTCCTCTCAGGGTGATCTACATCAAATTCCGTTCCATCTTTTTTCGAGGAAAAACTGATTTTCAGCATCTGATTTTCAGCATCCATTTTTTATCATCCATTTTCATAGATTGGTCATCCATTTTTTCGATTCAAAAAAAAACAAAAAAACTCGCAGCAAAGTCAGTCATCCCATCCCAAAATTTCGGTCAGTCATCGCTCAGGCTTCGGCCCAACGCCCAGGGGGGTGAAGTAGTTGTGTGAGAGGTGAAAGCCATGCCTTCGGCCCCGTTTGCCCCGGAGACGCTACGAACATTGATGTATTGGACCACATGGGTTGTGTCTTAAAATGGGATGTAAAAAAAAAAAACGTCAAAATGTATTATTGAAATATTGGAATGTTTTTGGGTTTGAATTATTGATGTATTATTGGAATATGATTGATGTATTGCTGGAATATTGTGACTCTGAAAATCTGTTTGAAGCAATCGATTGAAGGTACTCAATATTACTCCAATCATTGAATCAAAGTCAGTCATCCAAGTTAGTCATCCAATTAGATAATATGGTTGGTGGCTTCAACCCCTCTCAAAAATATTTGTCAGTTGGGATTATTCTTCCCATATATGGAGAAAAAAAATGTTCCAAACCACCACTCTTTCACTCTTTCTGATGCGCGCAGCATTGTCGAGAATGCTACCCGTCTTGGGTACTTCAAGGACCGATAGTGGTCACGTACGTAGGTGGAAACATAGAGGACCGTGCTGCGAAGGGCAGGCTGTCAATAACCTTGGTTTGCCTTTTCAATGTTGAACCGCAATGAGCCAGCATCCAATGGTCAACCTGCTCAAGCCTGTCACGGGGCCAAGGGAGGCCAAGGCAGCCAGTGAACATCTGAATAATGTGGGAGCAAGGGCGCCCATACGTTGCTTCCAATGTGACTCCAGCATGTTTCAATGACTGTTTGAGCACTTTGGCAAACCATCGGGATCGTTGACGGAATGCGAACCCTCGAAGTTGCACAAAGGGCAGTTCTGAGCCATCGCACCATTTCTGCAGGTGAAACGGTCCAGGGTGTCCCGTAGAACACATAAAATCAATATACAATTGAAAATGTGAAACCCAGCATAGAGGAACTGAACTGCCATCCACAACTTGCCAGAACCAACTCAAAAGGAGTCTGACAAGGCTGTCGCCATACCATCGTACAGCCCCTGAAGGGATATGTAATGCCGGCAGTGGGCGCCATGGTGAACTTGGCGGCGCCAGCTCCAAGGGGTCAGCAGCAACCTCAATGAATGCCGGTTCATCATTCCGGACAACCTCTTTGCTAACTGCCAGAAGAAAATTCTGAACTTCACGGTTATACCAAGCCACGGTGTCAACTGCAAGCGCATGTCGGTGATACAACTGCCAAAACTGCGGTGGCCTGGTCAGGTTAGCCTGCACTGCCTGGCGGTCTGCCAGGGCATTATGCCGAAAACACCATTCGTCAAATACAGAACTACCCTGGTGTTCTGATTGATGCGCAGCCACCCTTGTGATCTGGGTGTCACCTCTTCGGGCTAGCAAACTGTTCTGGACCTCTTGCCACAAGTCAGAGTGAGACGAATTGGGTTTGACACGATTGCCTTGCAACATCCGTCGAACGCGGCGAACAACCGCGTCACAATCAGACCACAACATGACAAGGCCCGGGTGGTCCTGAGCAATCTGTATCGCTTTCAACACTGCATAGATTTCAGCACGTATAGCACTTTGCAAAAGACCTGGTAAAACCCCAGCAGCAGCGATGTGGCTATGGGCACAATCATGTACAGAGTGAGCTGAGGCGAAAACAACCGCCCATCCCGCAAACCTAAGCTTAGCATTATGTTGGCCATGACAACTACCATCCGTAAACAAATGAACCACTCCAGTAAAATGGCACTGTGAAACGGGTATATCAGGCAGTTGGGCAAAGTACTGGTTCCAGTCATGCAAGGTGGTGGGAGCCATAGACCAGCCTGAGCAAATCAAGGCATTGGGGAGCTCAAGTGCAGCATCCAAAACAGCTGGCGGCAGTTTGTTGCGCAAGTGGGAGAACCTCTCACACTGCCAGAACCTGTGAAAACGACTATCACTGCAAAGGCAAAAGGGACAAACATCTGTATCTACTTCCTGGCAGTAGTGTTTGCCGTCTTGCGTTATGTGGGTGCCGTTCAACAACTTCCTGAAGAGGGCACGGTCAGCAACAGACAACTGCTGGAGCCAATGTCGCGTGTCCTCCGGGTCAGTCATGCCTAGGCCCTGAAAACAGCTACGGTGAACGGTTGCATCTTGCACCACACATAGCCATTGCATCCCAACACGATATTGGAGTTCTGCAGATGACACCTGAAACAGTGAAAACGGGCCGAGCATGTCAACAAGGCGGCCCTCACAATCAATATTCCACCCAAGTGTTTGGATACGCTTCAACAAAGTGTTGGTAATGCTATTGGAAGGGAGTTCAATCTGGTCAGCCACCAACTCTGCAAGCACTTGTTGAACTCGAGCTTGGGTACCGCAATCCCTCACTAGCCGAAACGTCTGTGTTAAGGCCCAAACTTGTGGATCCACTGTGGGTGCCTCAATCAAACCTAAATGAACCATGGAGTTTGCACCTGCGCTGTCGGCCCGCAACCCTTTCATGGCATTGGCACGCAAACTAGTGAAAGTAGCATTGCTAACAGTGGTTGCAGCCACAGCATGCAGACATCTAGGCCATGCGGCCGTTTTGAGGGCCCGAATTTTCTGGGTGTAGGCGCAGGTCGACAACCTGAGCTTCTGCCAAAGGGGTCCCGCTGCCGTCACCCGGTCAAGCAAATGTCGATTGGTATGTTGCCGTGAAAACTGGACATGGGCTCCTAAGTTACGATCAAAAGACACAAGGACAAGACCCTGGGCACGAAGGCATTTCCTTCCCTCAGCTGAAATGGACCAAGTGTGGGTTTTCTTTACAAGGAGATCCAGGGCACGGGTAAACTCTTCCAGACAGTTGAAGACAGGTTGCAGTCGCTGGGGGTCAGTAACTAAAACCTGCCAGTCATCCACGTAGGACACAGGCTGACACATGGGAAAGAAGTGGGTCATCCATTTGTGAAACAAAATGTCGATAACCATCATCCCCAAACAGCTCAACGCGCACCCCTCAGGGAGGCCACATGTGCTATAGGCAGGGGCACTGAGGCTGCCGTTGATTTGGAACCTACGGGGCATGGCGGCAAGGGCACCTGACCAACCCCTCAAGACATCAAAGGGAATACCGAGAAGGGCGCAGGATTCCATGACAACAGCACGAGGCAAGAAATTGAATGCCTTTTGTATGTCAGCAATGACACCGCAAAGGGGGGTTCCCTGTTCATATGCTAATTCAATGGCAAACAACAACTGGCTCCAAACCTGCCCTGCATAGCAATTGGGTCGGCTACCAAAGAGCCCAACCGGCAGAACTGATTCAATGGCTCGAATTGCATGACGAGCCTGAAACGTGCTCCAGCGGCGATACAATAGGCCAATGACCGTAATCGGCCGGAAATCGAGGGCCCCCTCCGGCGACTCCTTTTTGGGAATACAGGTCACTCTACCGGCAAGCATTTGCTGGGGCCAGCACCCGGTTCTTTCAGCAAAAAGGAAAAGGTCAACGAAATTGGAAAGAGCATTCCTGGGCAATGCTCGAAGGTCTGCAAGAGTGACACCATCAAGGCCAGCAGTGGTGGCATTGTGCTTTTGGGCAATACACCCCTGGAGGGCATGGACATCAATGGCAGGCCACGCTAACGGCTGAAACTGCAAATGTGCCCGAGCAAACTGCAGGATGGTATCCCAACGGGATGGGGGAACTTGCTGGTGTCGTCCCCACATCTGTCGCCAAGCATCAATAAAGAGCGTAAAAAGCTCGTCATCAGTGCCCCGGCATTGGATTTGTGAAACATTGGAGCCAACACAGACAGGTTCAGGGGGTTCAACCCAAATTGCATCAGCCTCGGCATGGATGAGGTCTGTAGAGACCCCATCAATATTCACCGGCAGGTGAGCACCAAAGGAAACTGGCTTATCCAACACTAACATGCACTCCTCAGGCCGGAGTTCAATGACCTTGGCAGTGACTGGCTTAACCAATGCTTCAACCCCTTTTGCATGAGCAGCTCGGAGGTCCCGAAAGATGGCATTTGGATTTTGCTCCCGGCTCTGTCTGGCATACTGACGTGAGGCACTTTGCAGCTCCTGCTCAAAAGATCGAAAGGCCAGGGCAAATGATTCGAAAACCAAAAGGGCTAAACCAGCTTCCGGCGGGACAACAGGCAGGATCTCAGGAGCACCATGCATGCGGAATGGGCATTGGTCCCACCAAACCTGAAAAGAGGGTAAAAACCCTGTGGCCCTCAAGATCGCACCCCAAACTTGTTTGGCATGGGGAGTGTGTGGGTCTTGTGCACTGACATGACGGACATAAGCTTGGAGACGTCTCAACTGCCTAAGCCATTGCGCATGTCGAAACGTTGCACACACATAATGCGGTTTGACATCATTGGTTCTGCCCTTTTTGGGGGGTGAGATCTTGCCGTCTGTCACCCGTCGAACTTCAGTGGTGGCGGCTCGGCCTGTAGCATTCTTAGCAACTGGAAAAGGCAAGGCGGAGCATGCTTGTTGTTCAATATGTTGCCAAAGAAGCCGGTACCTTTCGTCACAGTCAATGGTCTTGTTATTCCAAAACTGATGATCAACTTCCCAATGCTTGGGCCATGGGAATGCACTCGGAGAAATCCAAACTTGGCGTGGCAGTACCTGACTAAGGGGTCGGAACTCACCCCAAATCACGGCATGATCAGGGAAAACATCTTGCTGAATGACCACCTTATGAAGCAAAAATTGGAGTTCTCGTGAAACGTAGCAAAAATCCTTCCTAGTGGCATTCTTACAGGTGTTAATTATGGGTTGGCCCCAAAGATCACAGGCAAGGTCTTGAAGATCGCGAAAACCTGCATTCTCAAGGATGTCAAAGGCGGGGGTGGAATTCTGCAGAATATTCCAATCCCCAGCCACATAGCGCGGCCCCTTGGACAAATGGCAAACATGGCCTGCAACATGGTGGAGCAAACTTTCATTATTCTGCTTGGCCTGAGGGTATGAACTGCTCTCGGGCTCACCATAGACTGTCCCACCTGTCACCCAACAGTCATGTACCAACGTGGTTGTGATCAGCAACCTGGAGGAGGCACAAAGTTCAGCAGGGATTTGTGTGGGCACTTCACGCGTGGGAAACTTAGAGAGCACCCCCACTCCACGCCATGCAGCATGAAAAACACGGTTGTTCTGAGCGGGAACAGGGTGTCCACCTACAAAGTACCTGAAAGGGCTCTGGGCAAAATGCAAAGCAGAGCGGAAGGTCGACAGAGACTGGCTACACAGATGGGTCTCCGTGACAGCCCAAATATCCCCTTGGGCAAGTTGTGAAACAATGTAAGGGGCCTTACCTTTAAGGCCTGATGGGTTGAACGCGCCCAAAACAAAATTGGAATCCTCAGGGCCAGGGTTAGAAGCCTCATCAATGCGAAACAAAACGGCGACAGCAATCAACTTTGGCCACATGGAAAAGGACAGGCATCTGGCAGATGTCTGGCGGCACACAGCCGCACCCCAGCAAACTAGAAATAAAAGGCCCAGGACTCGCAGAAAGAGCCAACCCCAAATGTGTGAAACAACAAGGCTCAGCAAAAGGACAGCGAGTCCCTGGCCCATTTGTCATTCAAGCCCTTCTTCCCGGGGCCGCTTTGCAAGCAATCCTCTGATCTGTTGCATCTGTTGCTCAAAGAGCGATTGCATGGTCTGGTTTTGGTTCTCCAGGTGCCCATGCAACTGTTGTGCCTGTGCAGTCACTTGGCCCTGGAGGGCATTGATCTGTTGGGAATGGTGCCCACCAAACTCCTGAAATTGGTTCTCCAGCCCATGTTGCTTGGAGAGGAGTTGGTGAACCTGGTCTTCCAGGGCGTGAACTCTGTCAGGCAGATCATGCTCCATTGGCGGTTGCATTTTGGCGAGGACAGCTGTTTGTATTCGCTCCTCAATTTGAATCATGCCTTCAGTAGGACCGGTCGCAGGGGCAATCCCCTGGGCAGGCTGGTATTTCCTCCATGGATCATGAACAGCCCACGGATCGGGGTCCGGACCGGCAGCACCTTGGGAGGCCCCACATAAAGCCAGAGTGGCAGCAGACCCAACGGTGGTGGGCTGCTGGGTAGGTGAAACTGCATCTTGTTTTTGCCTGGTTACCACAATCTCCCCGGAGGTGGTGGAGATGATCGTTTGCTCAGGGTCTTCGATGGCTTGAACTAACCACATGGAACCACGGCCGGGGCAGGGCACTGAGGGCTGAAGCGGCCTGCATTCCCAGCCCGCCTTGTGCAAGATCTTTCCCACTGCCTGTCTGTCAGCTCCATAAGGAAACGGACCGACCAGAAAGTTGATCTTAGGTCCATTTGGCAGGAACACCGACTCCGGTCGAACCAACTTATGAATGGCCTTAGCTTGGCTGGTATGGACTCTAAGCCCTTTTCGATCACCTAACCTGGCAAGGCCGTGCACTGCTGGATTGGTCTGCATAATGTGTTGCAGCTCCTGCACAGAATGCTTTGTGGACCAAACTACTGTGTAATCAGGGAGGATGTCTTTTCCGTCGGCAGTTCTTGGTTCACAATAGGCACCGGATGTGCCGCTGGCTGCAAGCATGGCATCAAGAAGGCAAGCAGGGACCCTGACACACACCGAGAAAAACTCAGCATGGGCTGAGGGGCATGGTTTGAACCCCTGCCGAAGGAACTGGCGGCGCCAGACATCCAAAATGGGGTCACGCAACGGCAATTGCTCAGTGTTGTGCCAAGCTTGACATTTGCAATCATCGACAAAACAGCGTTTCAACTTAGGCAAGAGTGAAACAAGGCATCTGATCGGGGCAGCAGTGAAGTCGGCCCAATCAATTTTCAGCTCATCTTTGTAGACCATGATCTTGATGGTGACAACGTCAGGGGTGTCAACTGAGACCAGTGCTGTGCCATTGGTTTTCTCAACAAGCCCACTACCAACCTGAACAAGCACTGCATCAACCAAAATGGGTTCATTGTTCAGCGTACATCTGCATGGGATGGTCAATGGAGTGTGCGGCAATGACGTCTGGACATCAACGCCAGGCTTGTGCAACACCAACAATGCAAGCGGTTCACGTGAGACAGTTGTTCCAGACCTAAGGTAGGGTTCGGCATCATGGTGAGACATGAGAATGAAACCACTACTCACGGGTCCAATCTGCTGCATGGACAGCTGAACCAAATTGGTGCCTTGTGAGTGGAAGATGCCCTCAAGCACCTGCAGTTTGGAGGGATCAAGTTCAGTGGGCTTTGGCGCAGACTTGGAGCCTTTGCCTTTCGCTTTTCCCCCCACAACTTTTCCTTTGTTAGCCTCAACGGCTTGAGACAGTTCACTTGGCATGACCCACTGAAACTTGGAGTTATTCCCCAACATCTTCAGCTGTTTCCAGGGGTTGCGATGGGCCAATGCTGCGATCAGTTGCTCGCTTCCCAAGGTTTTGATGGCAGCAGTGGCACGGTCCTCCTCAACGCTATCAGGGATACCATGCTTCAAAAGTTCGGAAACAAGGTTCTTCATGAGTTGTCCATGAGGGCCAAAACCCCATTGGAGCGGCAGGTCATCAAAGGCAGGCTGTCCACGAGAAACAAACCATTGGCGGAGCATGGAATGCATGTCTTGGTCAGTCCACAATGTGATGGGTAGGCGCAAAACACCTGCCAGAGTGCGAAAGGCGCCTGCACCACAGAACTCATCAATTCGGGGCAAATGGTGGAGTTTGGCTTGCAGCCCACACTTTTGAAGGGCATCGGCAATGTGATCATGCTCAGCTAGGATCATGCAAACTTCAACCTTCGGGACAACAATGACTGGAGACCAATGACCACCATGTAGGTAAGCAATACCTAGGACGAATCCACCTCGTGGGCACGTGTCAATCAGGCAAGCCAAGTCTTTGGGGCCAATCACAACTTGAAACCGCACCTTAGTGGGGGCAAAGTCATTGAGCTTGGACAGGTAGAATTGCATCTCCTGGTGAGACATACCAGTAAACGATGAACCTGCTTCATCGGGGGCAAACCTACAAAGTTCATCCAGGACATGTATGTTGGGCAGGCAGCACGGTTGAAAGCTTTCAGTCATGATGGCCACGAAGGGACCATCCACGGGCATTAAAGGGAGTAGCCCGCATTCCCCTGAACGTCCCCAACCCCACAACGAAGGAAGGGTGGCCCCACCTCGTTGAATGGCTTCCGCAAACAGGGTTTTCATATCCCAGCATCGCGAACGTAACTGGTGAACATCATCAGGCAGGCGGGTGCGAAGCATGATGTGAGCAAAGAAACTGATGGCCATGGTGCCACACAACCGTGAAACTTCAAGCCCATGTGGGACCCGGTGGATCACCAGATCTGCATAACCCAATTCGAGGGCCAAGGCACGGAGTACCCTTTCAGCCTCACCGTCATCGACTGCAAAGTCAGCGAACGTATGGCAGTGAACTGCATGGTCAGCTTGGACAATCCAGACAGGGACCCAGTGTTGTTGCAAAAGCAGAACGATCACCAGCTGAGTGTCTGGCGTGGCATTAGTCCATGTTTCTCTCTTCCAGTCAAGAAAATCATCACACTGTCCAGTCATCCAATCAGCCAGGATTCGAGGTGGGATCGTGACAAAATGACGGTTGGGGCCGACTTGTCTTGGTCCATGCTGGTGGCAATCGATCAAATGGGAAATGTGAAAATCGATTTCGTCATCACCCATTGCATAACTATGGGATGCAATCATCTGGATTCTTTGTGCACGAATGCGACGGAGTTCAGACTCCTCATCATCGTCATCGGGCAATCTAGGGAGTGGCCCGGATTCCCATGGTGTGCCATTACCCCAGATAACAGGCTTTGGGGTATACTCCAATTGGTACAGGTGAGCCACAAAGGAGGCCCGCATGTTAGTGTGGACGGTGCGGAGTTCCGAAACACTTTCAGGCAGTGGCATCTGCATGATAATATGCGCAATGAATGCCATGGCATGAGCCCCACACATAGAATGCTCAGGCAAACCCGAAGGGACACTGTGAAGGGCAAAATGTTCAAATCCCAGCTTCGTTGCGATGAATTGGCAAACAGTTTCAATCTGGCCAATATCGACCTCAGCATGAAATGTGTGAACCTGCAGTGTGTTTCCAGATGGAACCATCCAGATAGGCATCCAATGATTTTCCAGTGCGACTGCGGTGACAACATTCTGTTCCTTGGAACGAATTTGTGGGTTTCGGGTACACCATTGCGAGGCAATCACTTGACCAATAGAGTCCCAACAATTAAAAATAAGGGGCTCCATAGCAATGAAATGCTGATCCGGAACAGGCAAATTGGACCCTGGTTGATGTGAAACCAACTGCATCACATGAAATCGAATTTCATCATCGGCCATGGCAAGACCCTTTGCGTTGATCAGGTCAATGCGCTGGTCACGTGTGATATTGATCGCAAGCTGCAAATCAGAATTGACACTCTGTGCAGCTGAACTGGAGCTGGCAGGATCACCCGCGCCCCAGACCCATGGCCGCCGGGCAATCTGGCACCTCTGAACCTCAGAGAAGTACATTTCCTTCAAGCGGGCATGAATGACTGTGGCTTCAGTGCAGTCAGATGGCAATTGGGATCCCAGCATCGCATATCTAAGGAAGGCAATTGCAAGGGTACCACAAAGGTCAGAGGTGAAAAACAGTCTGTGTTCCCTACGAACCATGGCATTGGTGAAACCGAGGGAAACAGCCAAATGTTGAACAAGCTCTTCCAACCCTTCATGCGAGGCTTTCATTCCATCCCATGTGTGCACATGCAGAACTCCATGCAGCGGGGTCATGAACATAGGAACCCAATGATGGTCAATCAGGGCAACCGTAGCAATGGGGATCCCTTGTCGCAAAATTTCAGGGTGATCACGAGCCCAAAGTGAGCAATCAAATCCCTTGCCTTGGATCCATGCCGAAATGATCAGAGGGTCAAGGACACAAACTTCCTGCGGGACCTGGCCATTCTTAATCTGGGTTTCCCTATTCAATTGCACAAGAGCATGCAGGTGAAACCGGATTTCATCATCTGCCCAAAATTGGTCCTGTTGGTTCAAAATAGCCAGGCGATCTTGGGACCTAAGGTACTGGTGGCGCAAGGACCACAATTGCTGGGTATTCTGAATACTCGGAAGCGAAAGTTTGAGAAATTGGGATCCAGACAAACCCTGCAACGGTGTGGCATCAAGCCAAGTCTGGTCATCTGGCAAAGCTTCAGTAGGGACTTGACAAGCCCCGACATCAAACACGGAAACCTTTCTGGGTGGAGTGACTGGCTGAATCGGGTCCTCTACTGGTTGTGTCCATGGGGCTGTTGGTGAGACTTCAATGGAATCGGTTGCAACATTTGGGGTTTGGCGCAGCTTGACAATGATCAATTGGCCTACCTCAAGGACATGTGACAACGGAATGACTCTGCCATTCAACAGAACTTCGTCAACCTCAAAAGAACCCACAAGTTGCGCATGTGCAAAAAGAAACTGTTCAAGAGTCGAGCCACATTTCGGAAGAAATCTGAGCGGAAATTCAGAAGGCCCCTCAAACAGTACTGTGCATGAATCAGCACACATGCATGAGGCAGTGGAAGGATCATCCACAACACAAGGAGCATCAAAAACAGGAATTTCTTCCTCATCCAGGATGGCGGAAGGCTCAATCACAGGTGGCATCTTTGCAGCCTGAACACGGATCAAGTGGTCCAGGATAGAAGCAATCGAAACAGGGCCCTCAATTAACCCATCCCATCGAATAGGAAAAACCAGTTCCGCAAGAGACAACTCTTTGAATGCATCCCAAAAGCCCATCATTGCAAGCAATTTGGAATCCTGAATTGGGTCAGTTTCTACCGTCCATACTTGGCGACACCTCATCAAAAGCCACGATCTGTATGCCTGAATCTGGGACTCAGGGGCAAAGGTTGGCACATGCAGCAGGGTGTCAATCCTCTCACCTACGGCAGCAAGGACCCAAAGGGCCTGGATCGGGCATGCAAGTTGGCCGACTGCAGACAGGGTGAGACGTACATCAGTACCAAAGTCAATCACCGGGTCAAAAGTGTTTAGGGCCATTGCTTCGTTTGGGTGCAGATGGCGAATGATCATGGTGCCATCAGGGAGAGGGGCACTACGCACCAGACATCCATGAAGTCCTTTCGTTTCAAGCCTGGCAGCTGAGAAACCCGACTTCCTACATCCACATGGGCAGGCTCTGGTTTGTGAGCCCCAGGCATGCAGGGCACATGGAGCTTTCGATTTGGCATTCAAAAGGTACCTGGCATGGAGATCATCGTTCACACCAAAGGCCTGGAGTTCAGTCAGGTCAAGTGCAAGCTTCATCTCATCGTCCACATGCCAGGGCCGGATTTCAGGAATGACATGCTGGACCATGTTGACACAGGACAATTGGACCCAATCATGCAAGTGGACAGGACCGACTTCAGGAGAAGACAAAACCCACCACGACCTGTGACGCCTAGTGGACCACACTTGATCAAGCTTAAGGTCAGTATGGCTACAATGGTACCCAGTGTGCTTCATGAAGTGTTGCAACTCGGATTTGACAAAATCATCCTGGGCGGCAGGTGAAACACATTCTAGGATGATGACCTGGGCTTGCAAGTAATAGGCAGTCCTAAGCGTCTTGGTGAGACAATTGGAACGGTCGTCACCCTTGCTTTTGCAGTCTCCCAATTGGGAAAATGGCTGGCAGCTGAACCCGGAAGTGAGGGTGGAGGCACCACCTGAATGGCGCCAAATTTCACAAATCACATCTCTATCCCCTATATCTCCACAGATTCGATGTGCGTTGCAAGCTTTGGCATGCAATTCCAACATCTTCGGATTCTGATCCACAGAGACTTGGACATTGAAACCAGCAGCATGTGCACCCTGTGCTAACCCTCCAAAACCGGCACACAGATCCACGACAGCCTTGAGTGAATCACGGGAGGGCTTTCTGTGACCCAAAACCTTAGTCTCCTTGGTGGGTGAGACAACTGGGATAGGAAACTGCTGCTTCAACAACCCGGAGAAAATGGTGTAGGAATGGTATCCCTCATCCAGAAATCCAGTGTACAAAAAGGTGAGACCATCAACCCCAGTCAGCAAATGGGCACAATGCTCATTGTCGAACACCTTCAGATTGCAAACCAGGTGAAGCATAGAACCATTGGGGGTATCACCGATTTCCATGGGGTAGTGTTCCATGGACATGGCAACAGTTGGGAGCAAACACGCCCACGTTCGGCTGCGATCAGCCGGACTACTGGAAAGCTTGGGCAGCACGGCTGTTCCAAACCACCAACCAGCAATTAATTGAACCAACAATACTTACTGTATCACATTGGTAAGCTGAGACTGGCAATCTGAGCTCTGTGGATGGAACATAGCGACGGTAGCTGGTAAGCATATGAACGTTTCCTAAGTCATAGGGAGACCCCTGTTCATCATCCATTTCCTAAATTGGGATACCCCCAGTTCTCATCCATTTTAGATTGGGATTTCCCATGTAAACCATCCAGCGAGCGACTGGGGCTTGGGGTACCCCCCATGAAAACCCCCGATGGATCATCTATTTCGTCCGTACCTTTGATCTAACAATCAACTGCTGATGAAGACTCTGGTAATTTCTTACATAACGATGGAAAATGACCAGTGTTCAATAGGTAAATCAACTATTTCTATGGTCATTACATGTCATTACAACAGCAAACTGTTAGTTTATGTTAGTTTACCAAAGGGTATGGCAATAAATCACTGATCCATGGGAATTGCAGTTTCAAGCTGACACTCCTTTGTCTCAGCGATTTGCACCGGGGGATATCATGGTGTTAAATCCATCATTTATTGCCCAATTTTTGGATAATATATCCAACAGTATCCAACGTGTTCTGAATGATGAGAAATCATGATGATACGGATGCCTATGAAATACAATCTGGTGAACTAGCATAGCTATTGAAAATGACCCTATATAATTAGTTGATTTGCCGATTGAAAATGGTGATGTTCCATGATTTTCCATAGTTATGTAACAGTTCACCAGAGGCGAATGATGAGAAAAAGTCTCAACTGGTCTCGAATTTAAGGCTAGCCTCTAGGCTGAAAAAAAAAATCGAGGCTCCCAACACACCGGGCGAGGGGGAGTGTTCCAGCAGCACTGAGAGTGCCTCGATCCGCGAGGCCACGCGAGGCGAGTTGGGTACTGGAAAGCTACCGACAGCTGGGTTGTAATCACCCATATAATACCATATAATCCAATGGGGATATTCCATAATATATATATATATATATATAATGGGGGTACAAGCCATTTACTCAGTGGGATGTATGTACCCCCAAATAAGCTGTCAAATTCTGTTTCTCACAGCGAATCAATTGGGTTCTGAACTAATGGGGTGAACTAACTACTTGTCAGATTCTATTTCTAAATCATTTTGACCACAGCAAATAGTAGTCAGTTCACCCCGTTTACAACCGGTTGGGGCCATCCTTGCAGCTCTCCATGGGTTTGTAGGATGATCTCAAAAGAAGTCGTGCCTTGGACTAGCCATGCTTTTGGCACCAAACGCATGTCCCACATGTCACAATCTTCGAGCGCCAGCTGCTTGGTCAAAACATCATTTTTTCATGGGAATTCGATCATCGAAAGTAATCCAATCACCCATTCATCCCCAACAGTCCCAGTGGTTTCATCATGTTTCATCTATTGGTCACAGTAATCCACCCATTGAATCATCACCACTGGGAACAGTCCAAACATCCAATCACCAGTCCCAGTCATCTGTGGTTTCATCCCTACATCCAGCGTGGTAAACCGTTTTGGGGTAAGGACTCATTTTGGGTGGATACCGAAGGGAAGCCGCCAAAGGACTTGAGCAGAGACGTCACTCAAGCGGTTCTTGTACAACTCGATCTGGGCGCGGCTGATTTTTTTTCGAATGGGAAAACCTTGAAACGTTTCCATAGATGTTTAAAAGCCATGGTTTCCCATTCATAAACACATATGTATGTATACATTATATGGATACATAAATAAATGTATTATATATATATACATATCCTGTATATACATATACATGTGTGTATATATATATATAGTATTAATACATACGCACACTATGCTCCCGTTCGGAGCTCATTTGGAAGCCTATCGCATCCGCTTTTGTTCAATCGCTGGGAATGCATCAGGGATCGCATCATCTACCATCGATGCATAGCTACTTGGGGGAACAGTTTCAAATGACTATAACCTTGGTTATAAACCCCCATACGTTGGAATATACTGATATACCAACTATAACTATGATCTTAATGTGTACATTTGTATTTATATACACAGTATATATATATACTTTTTCCACATCTAGCTGGAACTGCACTTCCAAGTATGGAAGCCATGGCCCAACAATAGTTCGATGATTTACCAGACAGTACCTGGATCTGACTGGATAGCCCATGGTGATACCTGGAAGCCACTTGGTGTAATCCACCTGACTTGTCAGCTGCCAAGGAAAGAAACCCACTCTTCACAGAAATGGCTAGTTCAACTTATTTTTTTCCTTCCCCCAACTCTTCCACCCCAAGTTATCCCAATCTGATGCTTGTCTGATCGAAATGTAACGCCACGGATTGGTGGCTAACTCCTGGGTTTTCAGACATTGGCCCAAAGATTTGTTGGTTGTGTATCCCATTAGGTCCCTATATGATATCTCTAGTATATCCCTATTACATTCCATCATCTCCTATTCTATTCATCAAAACATATCGTATCCCCCAGGATACCACCATGTTTCATGGTGAATGCTTAAATCCAAAAGAAATTGCCATTTCTCCTTAGGATACAGGATACAGGATACTTGTTGAAGGGTACACCATAGGATACAGGATATTTGTTGGTATGTTGCAATCCTTTCCCCCGTTCATCAGGATGTGTTCAATACAAATAGGGGAGTGGGACTATCCAGCATAGCAACCCCCAAAAAAGGTAGACAAATAAAGTCCAGCCAAAATAATGGTACATTGCATTTATGTTTCTTTTCAGGTTGCTTTATAAAATATAGAAATATTATATATATATAGTTATGTATACATATATACATGTATAAATACTATATATATACTAGATATATATTATATATACTATAAATATTATATTATACTATATTATATTATACTATATTATATTGTAGAATATTATCTTATATTATATTAAATTATATCATATTATATAATATCTTATTATATTACATTATATTTTACTATTTCATATTCTATAATATTACTATTTTATATTATATATTATTATATTATATTGTATTATATTATATGATATTACATTATATATATATATATTACTATATCATGTATCATACTATATTATATTATATACTATATTATATATTATATCATATATTATATATCATATAACATTATATATTATATTATATATTATATTATATATTATATTATATATTAAATTATATATTAGATTATATATTATATTGTCTATATATTCTATTATATATTATATTATATATTATAATATATCATTATATGTTATGTTATATGTAAATATATATATATATTGTACAAATCATTATCCCATTTCTGGCCTCGTTTATGAAACTTTCACATGTTGGATCTCCCCGATGCCTCCGTTACATCTGGGGCACCCCAACCACCTGAACCAGCGTGGAGCCTGCGAGGAGTGCCTGCCGCGGCACGGCCGAATTGAAATGCCAGGCCGAATTATCTTGCTATTTTATATCTGGGTCCACAAAAATAATCACACATGTATGTATATATAATGATAATATAATATATATATATATGTTATAATTATATATAATTATATAGAATACACAGATATTATATATATATAATATATATAAATATATATAAATACATATTTGTAATATTATTTATGTAGTGTTGAAACTCCCTCTTTCTCTTTCTTCTTTGCGATTTCACTACGGTTTCTGTTACCCCTTCATCATCCCAGTGAGGTCACAGTGCGCATTTTTATCCCTTGCGATGGTAGGCTGACATCTGCACGGAGCATCACTTTGGGCAGGCGTTCCAGTGCGGTTCCTGTGTGGACACAAAACAACTTGGCGAATCATTCTGCAATTCCCGTCAAACTGGAGAATTAAAGTTCAGGGTGGTTTGTAATATTTGCAGGAATTTACTGTGCCTTTCAAATAGAATGCAGAAAATGAGTCATTTCGGGCGCCCATGTGTCCGAAAACACAGCAGCAGCGCTTTTTGCCGGTGACTTTCAGATCCGGGAGACCTCTTTTTTTAACATGGCACATCCTACAACATTTGATTCCGATCGCATCCGATGGCCATTGCAATGAGCAAACATATTTCCTTTTTACGACCCATTCAAAGTATCTTGGTCTTTTTTGCTTGGCAAAACTGAGAGGGTAAAGTTGTTTAACATTCCCCAGCATCGATCGTCCCACTCTGAAAGCATCATGCAGTGTGAGCAAGTTGAAGCGTACCATCAGATCCATGTCGGGGCGTTGCAACAATTGATCGACATTGAGTGAATGCGATTTAGCCCCAAATCATGGGGGTTCTTGAGCGATGCGATGCAGCGTCCTTCGTGAAGTACATCATGTGGGAAGAGCAACACCCTCCCGCGCCTGACGCAAGTTTTGCAGCTCGTGCCAGGTGGAGCCGAGATTTATATGATGAAAGCAGCTAGAGAACTCATAGGGCCATAGGCCATAGGGCTTTTTGTAAATGAAGATGTGGTATCCCATGGTATCCCTAAAATTCAGTGGTTTATCATCATTTTCCGGAAGAAAAAAATAGTTAGAGGTATATCCTCCCCATTTGTCAGGCATATGTGAGAATCCCGCCTCAAGGATTCACACATCGCGCTAAATCCGTCCCCAGAATGTGATGGGAGCCCAAAGAACTTATGGAAACCAGAAGGTTCTAAATAATTTTCGGCATGGATTGTCTCATTGGATAGTTTACCCAAACATCATTACCCAAAACACAAAAAATGACTTAATCGTCATTGTTCCTATTAGAAAGACCATGTGGATGGGTATCAATACCCCATCTATTAAAACACACCCGTCAACCATGTCTCACCGAGTTCCGGAATGTGTAACTAATTAGTAGCGTCGACATATCTGCTAATATTGTAATACGTTGATGTACATGTAGATCTATGTGAATCCGTAATATTAATAATCCGGGTGATTCCATATATATCCATATATACATATAGAATTTAAAATCATATAAATATTATATCAATACAAACAAATTCAGATGTGTGCATATAGAGTACGGTACTCTCTATATCTATATCTATACATATATAGTATCTATGTGTGGCAGCACTGGCTATGTCCTGACATCATCAGAGCCTGGAACTGACGCTAGCCACAACCCGCGCCGATGTTCCTGGTGCGCTGGCAGGTGTGAAACACGGCATCTCTTATTCTCGAAACAACCAGCGCTGAGAAAAACCAAAACAAAAAAGAAGTATAGATAACTCCAGATTTTGATGTATGCTAATTGGCAAAAAAAACACCAAAGCGCCGCGGGGTATGGTTCATATGTTTCATGATAACCTCCAAATGTCAAAAAGTGCATGGTTCGTTGCCTGCTTTTGCCAGGGTTTTTAAATGTGTATTGGTATGGGAAGAGTGGGATATCTCCATGTTTCTCAACGGAATTGGTATCTACACACAACTATTTGAGCCATCTGAGCCTTGACTTTCCAGCAATTGCGTCTCTCCTGCGTCGTGGATGTGCGTCTGGAGATGAATATTTGGAGATGTAACACATTCTAAGATGTCGGAAATTACCCTCTGGTAAACGTTTACGTAGCTATGGAAAATCACCATTATTCATGGGTAAATCCACTATTTTGACTGGGCCATTTTCAATAGCTATGTTAGTTTACCAGAGGGTACACAACTCAACCCAAACTCCAAACATTACCATTTTCAATAGGAAAACGATCTTCCAAAGACGTCTTTTAGATTTCCATGCTGAACGTTTGGAGGGTACTTACATGTACAGATCATTTTTTGTGTGAACCACTGTAATACGACTTGAGACCGGACTCCATATGTTTATATATATACATATTGTTATACTATATAGATATGTTATATCATATATATATATACACGATTGTATATGTACGTTATATGATTATATAAGCATACATCAGCTATCCAAAGACTGATATATGGTTTCTGGTCCAAGGACAAAAGACTAAAACATACTAAAACCAAGAAGATTCGAAAGTAGCCGCGGGAAGATTCCAAGATGATCCAAGATGTTCCGTAAATCTCGCTGAATTCAGAATCCTCCAGCATGGCAATCAGTCAGGTAGAGAAGCAAGCTATGCGAAGTGACCTGCGCCGCAATTTTTTTCAGCCAATGAGTTTTGAATATGACAACTCAATGTTTAGATGGCAGTGTGTCAAAACCTTGTACCCCTGGTGAACATCAAAATAGCTGGTAAATGGATGTTCATCCCCCTAAAAATGGTATTAATAGGTATTGATCCATACCCAGATCTTCAAACACCCGGTAAACGTGGCCGTGAACTCCGAGCCGTTAAACTGGAGGTTTACTTCGCTATGGAAAATCCTTTTTGTGGTGGGATGTCCTCCGGGCGGATCCACCAAGGCACACGACCAGGCGGTGAATAGCCAGGAAACTCCGCTGAGATGTAACCTCGAAGTCATGTCTTTCGGAAACGCCGGTCATGGCCGGAAAATCTACTATGACTTCGATGATGTTCCCACAAGTTGGTTTATAAACCAACTTGTAACCCCCATTAACTATAGACTATAGTTATACCTGCCATAAACCATAGTTTTTTCGCCATTTATAAGGCAACTTAGCTATCTTGTTCATGAATTGTCCACATTTTTTTCCATCATGCCTATGGCGGACATGGAAGGCGCTGTTTGAGGACGTGTTTGATGACCTGAGGGTAATCCAAATGTTGATCGAAAAAACCAAGCATCATCAGTCATGTTCAACACCCTCATTGTAAAACATTTGGTTTTTGGGCGCTGTTTTATATTAGGGGGAAGGCATTATATATGTGTATATCTAAAAATATAAATATATTATATTATATTATATCATATTATATTATATTATATCATATCATATTATATTATATTATATCATATTATATAATATTATCTTATATCATAAAATATTATATCGTATAATATTATATGATTTTAATATTTATATCTATATTTATATTATTTAATATTATATTATATTATATTATATACATATACATATATTTATATTAAAATATTATATTATATCATATTATATAATATTAATATTATATTGTCTTGTATGATAATATATTATATTGTATTATATCGTATTATATCACATGCTATACATTATATTATGTTATATTAAATCATATTATCTTGTATTATATCATGTTATGTTTAACATATTATCATATCATATGATATCATATCATATCATATTATTATACTATTTAATATTGTATTATATTATATTATATTATATCGTATTATATTATATTATATTATATTATATTGCATTATATTATATTATATTATATTATATCGTATTATATTATATTATATTGCATTATATTATATTATATTATATTATATCGTATTATATTATATTATATTATATTGCATTATATTATATTATATTATATTATATTATATTGCATTATATTATATTATATTATATTGCATTATATTATATTATATTATATCGTATTATATTATATTATATTATATTATATCGTATTATATTATATTATATTATATTGCATTATATTATATTATATTATATTGCATTATATTATATTATATTATATTGCATTATATTATATTATATTATATTATATCGTATTATATTATATTATATTGCATTATATTATATTATATTATATCGTATTATATTATATTATATTATATCGTATTATATTATATTATATTATATTGCATTATATTATATTACATTATATTGCATTATATTATATTATATTATATTATATTATATCGTATTATATTATATTATATTATATTGCATTATATTATATTATATTATATCGTATTATATTATATTATATTATATTGCATTGTATTATATTATATTATATTATATCGTATTATATTATATTATATTATATTGCATTATATTATATTATATTATATCGTATTATATTATATTATATTGCATTATATTATATTATATTATATTATATCGTATTATATTATATTATATTGCATTATATTATATTATATTATATCGTATTATATTATATTATATTATATTATATTATATCGTATTATATTATATTATATTATATCATATTATATTATATTATATTGCATTATATTATATTATATTATATTGCATTATATTATATTATATTATATCGTATTATATTATATTATATTATATTGCATTATATTATATTGCATTATATTATATTATATTATATCGTAATATATTTGATTATATTATATTATATTATATTGCATTATATTATATTATATTATATCGTATTATATTATATTATATTATATTATATTGCATTATATTATATTATATTATATCGTATTATATTATATTATATTATATTGCATTATATTATATTATATTATATTATATCGTATTATATTATATTATATTATATTATATTGCATTATATTATATTATATTATATTATATTGCATTATATTATATTATATTATATTATATTATATCGTATATATTGTATGTATATATATATATATTACTTGGGGGTTGGTTTTTCATTAGACTCACATCCTCAGCCAGCACCGGCTGTCCCCTAAGTCTACGCCGAGTGACCTGGGAGCCACTGATAATCCACATGTGGAGCCAGAGGCATTCCAGGGTTCCTGTCTACTGTGAAAGATACCCTCTGGTAATTTAACATAGCTATGGAAAATCACAATTTGTTAATGGGAAAATCCACTATAAATGGCCATTTTCGATAGCTATGTTAGTTTACCAGAGGGTAGTGCTGATGGGTGAAGTGATTGTCACCAATCTCTGGAAATCTTGGGCGTAGACTGACAGGTGGCGTGGCGTAGACTTTGGTCATATTTGAATCTTTACATTTATTCTGCAAGTCCGGACTCTGGATTCGATAGATTTTCTCCTCTTTCTGGGCAATGCCAAAGTGGAGAATCTTCAAACTTCCCAACGTTCCATGTGGGCCCCTTTCAGCTACCAAGCCACTGACACACGAAACTGTCAAGACCTTTTCCCCCGATGCTTGGATTGGACTTGTGAAGACCAGCCAATCCGTAAAAAATTGTTCAACCAAACCGTGATGATTTTTTTCCATGGTATGATGAATTCAGGGATCATCTAAAGTGCCGTATCCTATTTCACCTGGTCATTCCAAGAATCGGCTGGGGTAATCGGCTCACCCTGATGCTTGCCCTTTGGAGGTGGGATGGTAGCCTCATTTCCCATTTGCATCAGTCCTACCTTTGAAAGAAAAGCCGTGCTTGAACACACTTGAACATTTCCTAGATTTCTTAGTATGGCAGTGTGTCAAAACCTTGTACCCCTGGTGAACATCAAAATAGCTGGTAAATGGATGTTCATCCCCTAAAAATGGTATTAATAGGTATTGATCCATAGCCATATGAGTATGGCTTTGAAAATCTGGTGCCCCCATTCCATCCCATGGTTTTTCTCATCCTTTTCCTAGCAATGCGCCAAGTGGGTAACCTGTCGCCAAGATGCCGATATCTCAGAAAGCGGAGCCATGGGGATACCCAAACCTCACATATCTCACAGCCAGGAAGGTAGCAAGGAATATAGCCAGGAAGTTAGATCATGTTACCATCTGGTTATGACTAACATAGCCATGGTATAGATGGCCCTAATCGAAATAGATGGTTTACCTATTAATAGCATGGTGGATCTTTCCATGGCGAACTGTTAAATAACCAGATGGTAGATAGCTGACTGCTGCTTTTTGGGAGACCTGCAGTGAGGGAACATCCTAAGGATCTCCCATTCACAGGAAAATGCTCCAACCATGGCTCCTTCCAGTCCCATGATGCTTGCAGATTCCCGGGGGAGCCCTCCACGTCCGAGCCTCTCCGGGGAAGTGTTTTTCCAGCAACTCCATCAAGGCTCTTCTCACATCGTTTCGGCAGAAGAACAGCCGCTCCGCTGCGCGGCGACCAATCTGGCGTAACAATTCAGAACGCTCGGCGGCCACGACGAAACCCGAAGTGTTTGAAGCCCACAATGTTGACATAGTCGCCGGATTTACATGAATCATTCTATATCATATAACAGGTGTATATTATATAAATTATATATATATTATATATAACATCAAATATCAGCAAATATATGTATTTATATATATATATGTGATATAACATCAAATATCAGCAAATATCACGTGAAATCATCTAAGGAGTATGGAGTTTCGTTTCTTGTGTTCATCCACCTGCACTTAAAACAACCTCAATTTTTCTAAAACCGGCCACTGTCCCGGGGGTCGTTTTGGAAACTCCCTCAATGGCCTGGAGCTTCAACAACCCATCCAATCTGGGATGAGCCTCTCAAGTTTTTGTGATTTAAACATGTTAAAAAAATGGAACATTGAACTTTTCTATACTTTTCTCCGAAGTTCAAACTGGACACAGTTTAACATAGTTTAACCATGTCAAGAAATCTCCAAATATCAAGCCCCGAAGCTCCGGAAGGTCCCTCCACGTCCAGACTCCAAGACCTCCATCTCCGGAACAGGCAGCTTTTCCGCCAGCGCGTCCAAGGACAAAAGGAAGCGTTCCGAAAAACTGGCCGGGAAGAGCCAACCTGAGGAGATCTTTGGGCCCTGACCATGGCTGGTTTGTCAGCATTTGTCTGGCAACGTTAAGAGGGAAAAAATACTAATGTGGGTAAAACGGTAAAACGATGTCATGTTTACCATCCTTGAGTCATCACCATTTGTATAGGTGGCTTGTTTACCATTCCCATTTTTGGGTGGTTTATGGCATTGTACCATATTGTACCCACATTACTGCATACTATTGACATGCATTTTATAACCACTGGATCTGGAGGGTTTGATCCATCGGAAGTTCCCGGCCAGAAAATGGAGAGAAGTTTCAGATCGACAATTCATTGGGCTGGCAATAAGATGGTCTATTGCCTATTGCTCTTCGACATCGATTTATTTTGGCGTCGATGGAATGGAATGACAAGAGGTCATCCAACTCTGGAAGAAGCAATGCCCCGTTCCTTCAATTGAGTGGCTGTTGACTGGCAATAGAAGAGCTTCTGCCCCCTCGACCACGTGTGATTCACGTGGTAACGGTTGTTGACCCTGGACCCCCAGCAGCTTGAGCACCTGGCTCCGAAAGCGAACATGGCGGTGGTTTTTTTACCCACCAAACAATGGATGCGAAAATGGTAGATTGTGGTTGTTACGTGTTGGACACATTTAGAAACACAGGGCGTCTGTGACCTTCTCACATTGAAGCCTTGCGAAAAACGGCTTACTTCACCCAAACTATCCCAAACCAAGTTCGATGAAAATCCTTCAGTTTCTATCATTTACCCTCTGGTAAACTACCGTAACAGTTTGCTATTGAAAATGGCACCTAGAAATAGTTGATTTACCCATCTAAAAATGGTGATTTTCCAGTTTGTTTTTTGTATGTTTACCAGAGGGTACTTCAGTTTCTACTGTGGATGGTTGCGAAATCCTGCACCAGTTGATAGATTGTTTATCCGTTTATCCCATTATTTATAGGGTTTCAACCATCCACAGTATCATTATTGTTTTACCCACATTAATCAGATTTAATCCTGGTCGGTAAAACCATCTGGAACTATTGAAGCCCCAAACTAATCATCAACCAGCCATACCAATTTCCATTCCCACAATCCAGTTTCTATATGTTTCCATCATTTACCATGGTAAGAATGGCAAGAATCTGGTAAAAATCCCAGTCCTATTACCATGGCTTTTCCATGATAAAAATCTATCATTATTGTATCCTGCACCAGTTGCGAAATAAATACCATGGCTTTTCCATGATAAAAATCCATGGTTGCGAAATCCTGGACCAGTTGATAGATGCTTTTCATCAAAATGGGAACCATCCAGATTATAAACCGCCATAGAATTCAGCCACAGCCATATATCCCAACTGAACAAAAATCGTTCGTTTCCGGGGGCCCCATTCCTATTAATGTCAACCCTGGATTAATAAACCCCAAACGGCTGTTTAATTGGGGGGTACCATTTATGTACCATCTAAAATATCTAAAGTGACTATTTGGAGGGTACCCCCTAATTTTCATAAACCAATATAACATGAATAAACCATGGCTTTTTCCACAAAATCCGGTGACAAAAATCCATGGCTTTTCCACACTCCAATCCCAGTTGGATTCGGTCGACCTCCTGGTGCCCTTCCTGCACTGCGACCTCCACGCAGCTGGTGCCCGCCGCATCCACGCCGCGCGAGGCGCCGAGGCCTAGAAGCTGTCGCACCACTGCGGCGTGGCCGAACCTGGGATGAAACGCCGCAGATGGCGATGGTTTGTGGTGAAGTGGTGAGGTGATTTTAAGAGGATTTCATGGGATTTAGGTGATTTTACTGGGATTTCATAGGATTCAATGGGATCTTATGGTGAGTAATAGGGATTTTACACAAAAAACGGGGCATATCAATGGGATTTCCCCTCTGGTGTCATCAAACATGGCAATAGAACATCCTCCATAGATGGAATAAATGGAGGTCTGGTTCGCTGGGAAATTGATCGAACTATAGCTGGGAGATTTTCCAGCAAGCCGTATGTTATCCATGTTCTTTCATGCTAAAATTATCGCAAAAATCATATGGTAATTAAATACTAGATCATATGGTTGAATACTTTTGACACATCCATTTTTTTGCTGAAATGTGGTGAAAGGCCTGAATTTCACGGACCTGACTGGCGGAATGTGTTTGAACCGAATTTAATTTCAGTATGATACAAAAATGGATGAGGTACTGATGTTTAATGACGTAAATATGACATAGTATAACATCAGATTTAGCATTGTCGCAAGGTCTCCCGAATGGCACAGGTGCTTCAATAGCCGAATGACTAAGCAGCTGATTGATCGAGTCAAAGCATGACTGAATGAATAACAAAATCAAAAAATGAACGGATGAATGAACCAACGAACGAATGCATGAATGATGAACAAACCAAGAAACGAAGGAACTTTTTGAGCCTCGACAGAACTCTGGGTTCCCGTGCCATGAAGCAATAAAAAGAGCCTGGAGAAGGGTGAAAAGAGATATTGTTATATATACATATGTTATATTAGTGTGTATCCATATATATATATATATCCATGTATGATATAACTGTTTAACATACTATGGTTATTGATCGGTTCGCCACTCCAACCAAAACACATCTGACTCACTTGGCCCCTCTCCATCTTTCCGTGTCACCCATTTCACTCACCTGTCTTGTTGGCTTCTTGTTTGCTCAATTCTGTCTCCAAACAAAGAGCATAGCGGGCAATAGGGAATATTAACATATATCAACATCCATCACCTAGTTATAAGATGTTATAAGTTGCTTTAGAAACCCCATGGAAAACTATAGTTGTATCTATAAGCCATAGAATAAAAAGCCACAGGATGCCATCTCAACTGAACGCGATTTCGCTCGTCTCCAAGAAGCTGTTTGTCCAAAGAGATTTCGAGCATCGAGATCCACACCAGCCTCCACAAGGAGCTCAAGCCTGGGGAAATTGGCAAGTGATGACCATGATGACCATGATGACAGATGTGTATATAGTGTATATATATGTATATATATACATTTATATACTATGATATGCTCCACTCTTTCACTATGGCATGATTTTCCACGAAGAATGACCTCGATTTCTGCCATAGGAACCAGGATCTATCGCCAAGTGCTGCAGCATTCTCCAACCTCAAGACACCCAGTTGCGGCGGGTGTAATGGGATGGTGACTATGGCATGGGGTGGATCTCACGTTTTCCATTTTTTTCCAATTATATTAGAGTAATATTATATAGTATATAATTATAAGTAGAATAATAATACTTGTAATATTTTCCAATCTCATACTTTAATATTAATATTGTCCAATGCACTGACAGTTTCAGAATTTAAATCTGTTTCAGCATGAAATTCTGACTCTCGAGCTTGAAAAAAATTGAGATTAGGAACTCAATTCGTAGTTTCAACTGGCTCCCCATTTATTTTTGGGAATATGTACCCCTGCAACTCCAAATTGTTCCGCCCATTCACCAGTGGATAGATGAATATATACCAAATATATTAATATACATTAATATAGATAATATCCCTTATAAATCCCCATTCATATCCCATAAACATATTTGGTGGTTTCCTAAGATAGGGGTACCCTCAAATCATCCATTTTGGTAGGATTTGAAATAAACCATCCAGATATTGGGGGATCCCTATTCATATCCCATACCCTCCAGTAAACTAACATAGCCATGGATTGTGGCCCATTTATAGATGGTTTACGGTTTACCTATTAAAAATTGTGATTTTTCATAGCCATGTTAGTTTACCAGAGGGTATACACGCCAACTTGTCATCACCGGCAGATGGCATTAGCAAACGCCGTGCACGGCTTTGGCCCAGAGGTTTCTCCACCGTGTGCTTCGTCTTACTGACCTCACCGGTTTTAAGGGAAAATTTTCACCGGAAACGATAGTTTTTTTCTCCTGGCATACAGTGTATATATAATATAATATAATATAATATAATATAACATAATGTAACATAATGTAACATAATATAACATAATATAACATAATATAATATAATATAATATAATATAATATAATATATATAGGGGGTTCAACGGTTGTTCTATTGTTCTCTTAAACCAATGGCAATCAAGGCTTAATCAAGACTTAAGGCATTCCGAATAGCATTCCATTCCGCTGTGTTCGTTTCGTATCATCATACTTATTCAAAACATATCTGGCCATGGCTGTAGATTCATGACTTTCAGGCCATGGTATCAAGGTCAAGCTGTTCGGTTAGCCTTTGTCAGCAGAACCAGTGACTAAGCATCAAGTTTTCTGCATAGCAATGACATTTAACATAGCGAACTGGAAAAGCCATGGCCCGTGCATATAATCGTATATAGATGAGAAACATGATGATTACCTGTTGAGCTGCTATGGCACTAGGAGTCAGTTGCATCCAACTGGTGGCAATTTCTTTGCAAATGGTACCTAAAAATGGCCGTTTATAGATGATAAACATTATCTGGCTGGTGGTTTTTGAAAAATATGAAAGTCAATGGGAAGGATGACATCCCATATATTATGGAAAATAAAAAATGTTTGAAACCACCAACCAGTTATGCCTGTTAAAAAGTTGTGATTTTCCAGTTCGCTACTAAAAAATTACCTGAGGATTGACCCCACACTTGATCCCTCTCAACATGGCTGGGAAATCCCCCACAAATAGAGGTGTTTAATGGTGCGTTTATGGGAAATTCATCTACAAATGGTGGGATTTCCCATTGCCATGTTACAAATGTTTGATTACGAAACGGTAGCAATGAGATGCACACAGTTTTTTTAATTTGAGACGCAAGCAAATAATTCACCAATCCATGCAATCACACAATCGAGAGATGGGTAGGGGACATTCCACTCCTATATCTGCTGATTTCAAGTGCCCAATGTTTGGTACACGTCAAAGAGCAGTGTCTGTGTTAAGTAATACTGTTGTCTTGTCTTGTTGTGGGAAAGCAACACTGTTCGCAAACAATATGGAACGATATGAAATCATTGGGTAAATTGAACAACTATAAATGTAAAATACTAATTATAGTTACAGTAAATAAATAAATATATATATATATATTATAGTTATAAATATATATATATATGGTATCCTTCATAAAACAAAGAAATCCAGATCTGGATCCCTGCTGTGCTTCACCTTCCCAAGCCGTCCTTGAAGTAGCGCTCTGGAAGCCGCAAGAACCTCTGCAAGGACGCCGCTGCCACAGCAGAGCATGCGCTGAGTGACACACCTTGGATGCTCACCACTTTTTTTGAAGCTTTGATCCAATCTGATCCAATGAAACACCAAAATTGGGAGGTTTAAAACTGTTACAAAAACGAGGTTTCTCCGGTTTCTTCAAGGTTGATGCCAGATGTGTTTCGAAAGAAAACTGGCACCTACGGTTTTCATGTAGGTCTTGGAGAGCTGGATGGTGGGTCAACGATCCCCTTATTCAGTGACACGGGATATACTTTTCGAGATGCAACTTTCCATGGATTCTATGATTGTCTTGAGATCGGCAGTCTCATCTGGGCATGTTCTATCCACGGGACGTCCCTTCAGTCAAGTACGATCTTCGCAGAAGTTTCTGCATGGGAAAAAAACAACAACAACAAAACCTAGGACACCCACAGTCAGAAATTCTCGACACTTGAAAAGTCGGAGAAAATTATTTCACTGTGAAAAAAGATGCATGTCTGGCACAAGAACGCATGTGTAGTTCTTGATATGCGAAGCAATTCACCCGACTCCCCGGCCTAGTTCAAACTGCTGCAGAATTGGTGCAACTTCAAACGACCAGTTGGATACTTGCCGGGACTGGGATGAGACAGCGTAGAAAAACATGCACGATTGCTTCAGTTACGTAGAATATGATATATTATGAATTGTTGGGATATATTGTAAATATCTATACAGTAATGTGAATCCTGGATTAACCCCAAAGAGCTGTTTTTATCGGATATCAATTAAGTCTAGCTTCAGTTCAGTATCCCCAATTTTTTTCATGGTTCACCCTCTCGTAAACGACCAGTTTTCGGAAAATTACCATTAATTTCATTAGTTGATTGACTGTGGCTGACCTATTTTCAAATTATCAAAAAGTATGATTTTCTGATTTTCCATCCAACAATTTCTTACTTCTTAGTTTAATAATTTACTTTACCAGCTACAAACATCTCAACATCGCCCACTCAGCTTCGCCGACTCCTATGGTTCCGCCGACTTGGCCAACGCGCAGAGGCTTCAACGGCCTCGAAGGTTCGAAACTTGAAAAAAATGTCCGGTCGGAGACTCTCTCTGAGAATGAAGAATATTATAGGCTACAGGATGGGGCCCTCCAGTTGTGTTTGTTGGTTTATAACCCTCATCTAAATAATTCTAAATATAGTTATTTGCGTACGTTATTACAGTTATAAACCAACTTACCAAATTGGCTACATGATTTTCTGAATTAGCCATCAGGATATACAAAACAAAACTGGCTGATGATCATAGTTCCCCATGAGAAGAGGTAAAAATTGCCAGCTCGCTTGGGGCTATGTCATGATCTTCGAAGTCCGATGTTCAATTGGAGTACCCCTTTCGGTACATATTATTGATGCTGAAAGCACATATGGGGGTTCCTAAAACAGGGGTACCCCTAGGCATCATCCATTTATAGATGGATTTTCCATGAAATATCATGAAATCAACCATCCAGCGATAAAGGGGGTACCCCCATGAGGGCCCCCATGACTTAGGAAACCTCCAGAGAACTATAATCATAAAAAGGAACAGACCCTACAATCATTCACCCACAGTGCCACTGGGGTGTGTCAACGGCCTGAGATTTTTTCGTGTCAAAATTTCATGGATCACCCCTGATGATGCAAGGTCCGGGCAACGTGTGGCATGGTCCAAACGTTGTGTATTGTGTATTGTGTATTGACATGGCGTGGTATGATCCGCATTCCATTGAAAGAAATAGGGCTAACCCATAAGCATGGAAACTAGTTCATTCTCAGCAGAATATGATGAACTATTTCCGTTTATGGTTGTGTCTGAGAGTAGAGCACCCCTAAATTCCTTGCGTCAACAGCATGTTACCATTAAAATAGCCACAAGTTGGGTGTCATCATTTTCAGACAAAACCATATGCCATATGCACCAAACCATGTTATGATTAAAAAACATCAATAAATAACTCTATATCTATATATATATATATTTAAAACGAAAACTATATCATGTCAACAATTCAACCAATATAATATATATATATATATCCTATATATCCTATATACCATATATTGCAGTATAAACATTTAATATAACGATTATTCCCCACCTGCCAGGTGAGGGTTGTTAGATTTTATCAGAGCTGTTCTCCTCCTCCGCCTCCTCACCCGCCGCCTCCTCCTCGCAGTCCAGATCCCAGTGGGCACTGCCGGACCTCAACCGCGAGCTCCAGATCTCAGCTGCCAGACCTCAACCGCGAGCTCCAGATCTCAGTGGGCACTGCCGGACCTCAACCGTGAGCTCCAGATCTCAGTGGGCACTGCCGGACCTCAACCGCGACTTCCAGATCGCAGTGGGCACTGCCGGACCTCAACCGCGACTTCCAGATCGCAGTGGGCACTGCCGGACCTCAACGGGAAGAATGTCCAGAAAAGATGTCAGATAGAATGTCAGAAGATGTGCCAGATAGAATGCCAGAAAGAATGTCAGAAAGAATGTCGGAAGATATGCCAGACAGAATGTCAGAAGATATGCCAGAAAGAATGTCAGAAGATACGTCAGATAGAATGCCAGATAAAATGCCAGATAGAATGCCAGAAGATTTGCCAGTAACAAAATGTATAAATGCCATGGTGGGGATCATTCGAAGTGAAGTAATTATAAATGTTATTTGAAAAAAAAATATTGACCAATATATTATACCGCATACCCTCTGGTGAACTAACATAGCAATTGAAAATGGCCATTTATAGTGGATTTTCCCATTAAAAATGGTGATTTTCCATTGCTATGTTAGTTCACAAGAGGGTAATATAATGTTAAGATTAATGTAAGAAACACAACCCTTTTCTCAGCAACGATGGTTTTTTCAGCGTCGATCCAAGCGTCGAGCCCAAGAGCTCCAGGCCGCCTACAAGCGGATTCACATCATGGGGATCCTGGAAATCCCAAAAAAGGTGGCTATAAAAATAATCTACACACATATATATATAATATAATTCATATGTATAATCTATTAAATCAATGGCCATTTCACCGATTGATTGGAGGTTCCTACCATACATAAGGCCTATTTTTCAGGCCTATGTAAGGGAATATCCCAGCAAAATATGGCCTTATTTGGTACAGTACCTCCATTTTAGGATCCTGAAATTGCCATTGAATATATGTATGTATATATATATATATACATACACATATTTATATATTATTATATATATATGTGTATGTATATATATATATATACATATATGTATATATATTTGTGTATATATATGTATGTATGTATATATATATATGTATATGCGTATATATGTGTGTGTATATGTGTATATATATATATATATCCCTATATGAAAAGGGATTGATGACCATCCCACAATATGATGCTATATCAGCCAACTTTTGACCATGGCATGCGTGACATTGAATCATCGGAAAGTGAAATTCGAGAAAGGAGGGATAATGAAACCAACAGAAACCAGAAATGATTCTGATAACTGAAAGTATCATGTGTATTCATGTGTCAAAAACCACTAAATTAGGTAACCACTGCAACATTCTCTAGGCCTAAAAAACAGTGCCCGTGTCTTCAGCAATATAAGATCGTTTTCGGCATATTGTTGCCGAGTTCAACCTATCTTTGTGGCTTCCTTGAAACTTGGGAACCCAACAGCCCAGAAGACCGAGAACTCCCATTGATTTCAAAGATCATGAAATCTTCACCGAACTCATCATGTCATTCCAAAATTTCCCAATGAAACCGGTCAAATCGAATCATATAATCTTCCCCTGTAAAAAATCGAAACTCACCAAGATATGTGAGGCCAAGCCGGATAGGACTGTCCCAACAGGCCAAATCTTGAGCTCGACGGTGAGAAACTCACCACGGATGCCATAGGATTTTGGGGATAGATCCCATCTTATGGGGCTCCCCATGGAAGCATAGCATGTACATACAGCATATAGCCACATACATAATTACAAAAATCGTATATATGTATGTACATATATATATATGTGTGTGTGTGTGATTGAACATGTATGTACAATATATATATATATACCGTTCTATCCAGATACATGTATTAATATATATATATACATACATACATGTATATATATATTATAAATTATTATAATATATAATACATACACATATCAATAAGATGCATTTTACACATGTATATTGCAATGATGTAAAAAATCATGAAAAGTCCATTAAGTATCCATATGGTGTATGTATATATATATATATTAAATATATATTCTGTTAATCATTATTATACATCTATATAATATCACTGCATTCCCCTGTCTCCGCCTCGTTGCCACGCAGTCCAGCGCGTCTGGCCATGGAATGGATAGCTTCGCCATCCGGCTGTTTTTCAAGGGCGAGATGGGCATTCTGTGGTGGTTTTCATAGTGGTTTTCATAGTGATTAGCAGTGGCTAATGCTGGTTCATGATGGCTAATAATCAATACTAGGAGCTTTCCGAAGTCATGGGACCCCAAAATCATCCAGTTTTTAGACAAAATCAATGAGAAAATCCAGTGGGAAAAGGGGTAGCCATATTTCAGGAAACCTAGGAAACCTCCATTTGGATTAAAATGGATCTGGATCGTTCTAGACCTAAGTACCCTTAAGAATGGTCTTACTGCATAATCTTAAGACTTTACCATGGAGGGTCTAGGTACATGGTATAGTTGTTGTTCATTTCGGAATGTTGCAATTCCTCGAAATCATACGGGTTTCTGAACATTGGTATAGAGGGTGTCCTTGTAATTCTTGCCTGAGCCCATTTCCAAGTACATTTGATACAGTTTGGGAGGGTGTTGGGAGTAACAAGTAGAAATTGAAAGTAACAAGTCCAAACGTTGCAGATCCCTACAATCGCCCTTTTGGTCGTCATTGAGCTTACCTTCGGACAGCTGCCCTGTCATTCAACAAATGTTCCCTCGCAAACTCGCCACCCAACTAGCTCTTGCTGCATGGGCGGGAAACAGTCCTGGCTTTGGCGTTTAGAGTCTCATTCCAAGATGGAGGTACATCATGAGGTTTCCTTAATAGTCAAAAGGGGGTACTGTACCCCTTTATCGCTGGTTAGCCATCAGTGTGGGGCCAGTTTACAACTCATGAGGACATATGTGCTTGACCAGGTGTTCCCCGTCACATGGTCATTGTGGTCCTTGGATTTCATGCGAAAATCCATCTTGAAATGGATGATGATTTCGAGGGTCCCTAAGACTTTCAGCTCAACTCAACACGAGTAGACTGGATGCAGTTGGATAGGCATCCCTAACGATCCGATGTCGAGAAACAAAATCTCAGACCTCAGTGACCTTTGGTGATAGATGATAAAAGAGCATGTAGTACATGGATCTACCATGAATTCCATGCTGAAGCTGGCCATGTGAGGATAATGAGCTTGCCATCTGGGCTGTGGAGATTGCGCCGCCATTCGGCTCGGACCAAACGTGGCTGGCAGGAAAGTCCGCGAACTAAATGGAGGTTTAGTTCACAAAATTATCGAACTAAGTGGGAGATTTTCCAGCAAACCATGTCTGAATACAGGAAGGTAATGCCCATTATATAATTTATATATTATATCCTTTTTGTTGTAATCTAAAATCCTATCAAATCCCATGAAACCGCCATTTGGAACATCAGATACCCCACGGCTCCCATAGCCGCCCCATGCCGCACCCATGCCTCGACTAGAGCCTCAAAGGTCCAGCAATGGAAGCCATCCACCGTTGATTTGGTCATGAATTGGTTTTCCCATAACCAAACATCCATTTAGTTCGTGATTTCCCAGCTAGCCACGGATGTTTTTCGCGGAGGAACCGCTCAGAAAGTTGATTCCGTTGGGGGGAGATCGTGGAATTTCTAGGCGAAACCATTGTTACAACCATCGAACTGTATGAGAGGTTCCAATAAGCAATGTGGGGGTTAATCGTTTGTTCAGCCATCGAAGTAGAAATCCGATCATGGAACGGGCCAATCAGCAAACACAAACAGCATACAAACAGTTTGCAGTGAACGACCATCTATTGGCCAATCAATGCCAACACGCAGCCAAAGGTATTGCTACTATGAGTCTCATCAAAGTCACTAGTAGGTGTCCTTGTCTCTATATCTATATATATATATATACATATGATTATGTGTAATATATATATATATATATATTATATATATATATCATTATATATGTATATGCATAATCCATATACACTAGTATTAATGTACATCTATTGTAGTACCTATGGAAAAACGGAACTCCCTGGCCATAGCAACTCCCCGATGGTTTCACCAAGATGCTCTCACAGCACAATCTCCCAGCTCATGTCCAGCCAAGTTGATCTTGGCCATCCACCTGTTTCTGAAAAGGCCCCGAGAAGGCCCGTTGGGCTAGGAAAAAGGTCAGGAGGGGATGAAATGGGACAAACATCTTCCAGAAGTGCTTTATTGGAATCATCTTTAAGTGACTGTGCAAAACGATCCATTTTCCAAGTGCGGTTTCCTGGAAACTACTACTTTTGGCCCGAAAGAACTTCCAAATGGCATGGAAGTTGAGGCCAGAAATTGGACAGGTCCCCGGCAACAGCAACAGGCCACACCCGAATGGGCCGTTTGGGCCAGGCCTTCAGTTCATCCCTCATGCAACTGGGTTTCCGTGCAATGGAGCACTTGGTTCCAAGTTCAGTTGCGCCTTAGCAGGGTCATGAGCCTGAAGTTCATTGTGCAGTTCAGGTCTTCAAGACACTTGGGAAGTTGAAGATCGACGGAGATGCTGGCAGGTGATTAACAATCATCAATCTATAGATATTTAATGATATTTATATATATATATATTAATCAGGGTATTGGAGAAATAACTTTCGATGTCACGGCCTGACAGTGGACAGTGAATGTTTATGATGTGTGGTAAACTCTCCCACCTCGAACGGAAAACCATCGCTTCGATGATCTGCGCATGGGTATAAATCCACGGAATCAATTCAGGGCACCGAAATCTATGATGAGTTATGATGATCATGATGCTTGTAATATCATAGATATCCCGCCGGAAGCGTTACCGGCGTGAGAAAATGATCAAAATTACGACGCCCCCACAGCGAGCAGCCAGATTTGAGCATTCGAAACCTATCAAAAAAAACTCCGTCTACTTTTGGAATGACAACCCTTCCATCACTTCAGCCTCAAAAAGGGCAACCGCAACTTTTCTCACATTTTCTTCAACGCGTCAGCGGTGGCTTCCATCAGGTTTTTCCCTGTGCACTCCCACCGCCACTGGAAAGAGCGCATGCATTTCCATATTTGAGGATTGCGCGCCTGGCCCTTTTTCGATGGCAAACTTCCAGGGATGGTTTGCGTAGCATCGTCATGCTGTGTAGCATGTTCATGTGGCGTAGCATCTTCATGTTGCGTAGCATCGTCATGCTGCGAAGCATGTTCATGTTGAAAATTTTACGTAGAAATTCAAATAGCGTAGTATGAAGTGCGAGTGAAGATAATGAAAGTGCAAATGAAGATCATAGAGCGTAGCATCAAGTTCATGTAGAAATGCAAATGACGGTCATAGAGCGTAGCGTCAAGTTCATGTGGAAATGATGAAATGCAAATGAAGATCATGGAGCGTAGCGTCCAGTTCAAGTGGAAATGCAACTGACGTTATTACCCCACCCCACCCCACCCCACCCCACCCCACCCCAGCCCACCATCTTCATCACATGATGCGTACCTTGTCCCCGGCGGTTGCTGCGTAGAGATGTGAGATGTGTAGCATCAACAGAAACGTAGCATCAACATGAAGATCATGAAAATTTTACGTAGAAATTCAAATAGCGTAGTATGAAGTGCAAGTGAAGATCATGAAAGTGCAAATGAAGATCATAGAGCGTATCATCAAGTTCATGTGGAAATGCAACTGACGTTATTACCCCACCCCAGACTACCGGATGTGGATTTGTGAGACGGTAACGAGTCCGTTGGCATAGATATCATATAAATATGTGATATCATATCTATGGTATATGTCATACAAATATCTCACATGATATGATATAACGAATCACACTGTTAAAAAAACTGTTACCCTCCGGTGTCATCAAGCATGGCACTTAAAAATCCCGGCCCTAAGTAAATGATGGGTTGTAGTGGGGAAAATCAACGAACTAAATGGTGCATTTTCCATCAAGACCTCTTTCATTATCAGAGGGCAACTCCCATTAATTTCCTCATTTTTGTTGTGTAAATCTCATTCAAATCCCATTAAAATCCCGTTAAAATCCCGTTTAAAATCCCGTTAAAATCCCATTAAATCACATCAGATACACCAGTTTTTTTACCTGAACAGCCGAGCCCATGGGATCCATCAAAACCCCCTCAGCTTTTGACGCGAAAACGAGGGATGTCGCTCTTTAGCCTTGGGTAGTTCCATGGTTTCATTGGGGATTTACCCAGTAAATTCACAGTTCGACCCTGCAAATTCTGGGCTTGGAAGATTAGATTCAAACAAAAAGGTGATAAAATCAGGGTCGAACTGTTTACCAGAGGCTCATCTGATGGGGTTGATACTTTGATGGTTGAGACAAGACCCCATGAAATTCTGACAGAAATCATCAACCAACAGGGCCGGGATGCACTACATCTGAGGTTTAGGATTCATGGGAAACGGGGATTTATTGAGTGAACTATTGGGGATTTATAACGGGGATTTATTGGGAAGTATTGGGGAAAAATAGCCTTGTTGAGTGGTATTCTTTCTCTACTTGGATGTGCAGGCCCCACGAATCGGATCTCTGGTTTATTTCATCCATTAATATAACCCACATTTCATCCCGTATATGGGGTACAACCCTTTTACTAGGTGGGATCCATCCCCAAGCAAACAAATAGAATGAGATGATTAGAATTATTACTGAATTAGAATTAGAAAAATAGACTGTGGTATGAAAACCATGTGTACATGACATAACATAGCATAGAAACAACACAAATAGAATGAGAATTGAATAGAATATTATATGACGTTATATAACATAACATAATATAAGACAATGTATATTCATATATATATATAATGTATATAGTAACTCGAAAAAATAGCAAAGTCGAATCCAACTTAAACAGTGATGATTTACTTGTATATCTTTTTGGGGGTGCCATATATCAAAACAGGGGCAGCGAAATCGCTGAGGACAATGAATCCTGGTCACAATTTGCCATCACACTGTGAACGGAAATCAATTCATTATTATATACCTTTTTGTATATCATCGCTTTAGATTTGAGCATTCTTGTTTATCAATCTTGTATGCCATTATATGTATCATCAGTCTCATATTAATACTATTTTTTATATGCTTATGTATGTTTACATGTGATGTATGATGTACATCATATCAATACCACCTCCACAGCTGGATGCTGGTCGGCTTCTGATCCTTCAATCGGCTGGAGGGAAAATCATTCACGTGGCATGGAAAGGAAACCATAAATTCCATGATTGTAAGGGAAATTTGAATCATTTATGAATAATTTCTGAATTTTTGAAACTCTCTGAAACCAATAAATCATGAGATATTTCACCAAATCGAGGCAATTGGGCAAAAAAAGGATACAGTTCAGATGAGCCTATCTGTAGCATGTATATTAACATCATTAACAAGAGGAAAACCCCTATTGTTTCTGGTGCTATGAAAATCCCGTGAAAATCCCATGAAAATCCCATGAAAACTCCTATAAAACATGGGACCCCGGGACCCTAAAAATCGGGTGAATGACCAGCTGAGACCAGCTGCTCCGTGAACTTGCGGCACGCATTCTGATCGCTGATTTTACCTGGCGGAGTTCAGGGGATGAAGATGTTGAGTCGGGTAAGTTGGTTTATAACTAGAATGAGAGTCCCAGTTAGATGATGATCATATGGATGTACAAATATCTATGTATATATATATATATAATCATGATATTTATAATATATATATATATATATGTGATACACGTACATATTATTACTGGTTGGTGGTTGAGCTACCCCTCTGGAAAATGATGGAGTGAAAGTCAGTTGGGATGATGACATTCCCAACTGAATGGAAAGTCATAAAATTCATGTTCCAAACCACCAATCAGTTGGGTTTTATGGCTATTGTAATTATAGATAGAATAGACAAACAAACATTACTAAGGGGGCGCAACCTTGTACAAATGTTGTTTGTTTATTCAAGAAAGAAGGTTCTGGACATAGAATATGGCTGGAAGTGGATTTCAACGGCTGGGAAACAGACAAGAAAGATCTTGCTTATGAGCCCCAGGTAAAACCCATCAAAGCCATCAGCAAAGTGAGTTGCGACCGTGATTTTTGCACGCCGGAACTCGCCGGTTTTTGCGGTGGCTGATTTCAACTCACCTGGCGCACCTTGGGACAGATGTGGCTGCCAATTGATGGGTTTCCCCATGTGATTGGTTCTTTTTCGAGACAATCCAACTAGATTATCATGCATTATCGCGGCAATGCCTTGAAAAAACCAAAGTTCCAACATGTTCCAACACTAGAATCACGATATCACAGATCAAATGCTGGAGATACTACAGTCTACAGTCTTTTTACCACCAGGTCACTCCTTTTTTGGTGTCCGTCGTAAGTGGGCATTGGCAATGTTGGAAATCAATTCGAGGCTTAACTGATAACATCTGATAACCATCCTTTCTATAACTCATGGACCCAAGCTGGACGGATCTTGTCAAATCTACCTTGGATGATCATCGTCCTATAGGTCCTATAGTAGTATAGTATAGGTATAGTATAGGTATAGTATAGGTATAGTATAGGTATAGTATGGTAGGTCCTATCTGGTGAATTCATGTGAATTCGCTCCCAAATCCTGAAATCGCCTGATCTTCCGAGGTGCTTTGGCAGGTGAAGCGGTGATTTTTCGAATCACCTGCCATGGGCCATCCCAAAATGTCCAGAACAGAAGAACAGAGCAGTGCTCTTTGCTAGAGGAATTCCATATTCTCCATCCCTAATTCCATCCCAGGGTGTTCATCCAAATTTTAGAATATCCCATGTTAGAGCTAAATGATGAAAGATGATGAAAGACTTCCATCCATATGTTCATCAATATCCGTATCCATCTATTCATTTCAACCAGCTTTCTTCGAAGATTCAGTCGACCAGTACTCTTCGCCAGATGTCCCTCTCAAAGCCTTAAATACCCTCTGGTAAACTGACGGAACTATGGAAAATCACTATCTTTAATGGGTAAATCAGCTATTTCTATGACCATTTTCAATAGCTATAGCTATCTTAGTTTACCGGAGGGTAACTACTGTGATTGAACCGCATCCTACTTCAAGGATCACATGCCGGGAAGGCCGCCACATGATGGCGAGATGTGAAAAATATCCAGACGTGGATGTACTTACAATCAAAACAAATACATGTGACACATATATTATAATCTACTAAAACTAATATCTATAATACATATATATATATACATATTGTATACAATTATAATATATTGTTGTTGCATTGTCTAGATTATCTACATTATACATGTAATATGTATCTGTATATGAGCAGATTCAGGGTGACGCAATCCTGCTATGGCAGCCCCAGTAAGTTGCTAGCTGTTGGATGTCCGTGCTCAGAAACCACCAGTTCCAGTATATCTAAAAGGCGAGGTGATATAGTTGAGTAGGGATAATGCAAAACAATTGTCACTTTCTAACCATGACCAGTGAAGCTTACCCTCCGGCCCCAAACTAAATGGACAATGTTCGATTCCCAGGTTTGATGACTATATCATCAAATGGACATTTCAATAGGAAGTCTATATAATAGATAATTATGGGGTTTCCAACAAAGGAGGTACCCCAATAGCTGTTATAGAAATGGATGATTTGAGGGTACCCCTATTTTAGAAAACCTCCATAAATATTTCAATATAGGGAAATGATGATTTTCCGTGGACGGAATGGGAGATTTTTCACTGCGAAGATTATCATCAAGTAGACCGACTGAAATGAAACAATAGCCTCCTGGAAACCGGTTACCCCAAGATGTGGAAAACCGACCATAAACGCAGACCATGTTCCGAACCGGAAACGCGGGGTTTTCCACATCGTTCTGTAAACGTTTACCTTCTGGTAAACTAACGTAACTATGTAAAATCCCCATTTTTTATGGGTAAATCCACTATAAATGGGTAATTTTCCATAGCAAACTGTCAAATTACCAGAGGGTACCCCTAGGTTTAAAAAAAACGATGCCCATCCCTCCACGCCTTTGGGACTCGGCATCTGCCACACGGAACTCCTGCCATGGAAAAATGATGGGAATCTATGGGGATCTATGGGGATCTATGGAGATGTAACATGATGCAATCCCACATCCGGCATCAAACAGTGACAGAACATCCGAAAACGGTGTCGCCAAGAAATGGATCGTGTCGTTCAGTCAAATGCCCAATTCGCGACATATCAAGTTCCATGAAATTCAATTTGGCCCACCCCATGTCTAGCGGCTTGAAAAAAGAACAACGGTAGGCAAAGCAATGACACGTCGCTCTGCTACATCCAATATCTGAAAATTCCAAAATCTCTCCAATGGGTCTCAATTCTGGTTGTTTACTGATGAAAAAATACAACATAATTTCAAGAGATGTCCGTTTTCCCTTTAAGTGATGTGGATGCAATGTTTCACCCCTAGTGGGTATGTGTCAAAGTGAAACTGGGCAGACTGCGGCAGACTGCAATGGATTCAATCTCCAGATTTATTTTGGTGGTTTATCAATCTCCCCATTTCATATTGTAATATATGTGTGTGTGTGTGACTTATCTCAATATCCCAAAATGGTTTCTGAAAAACTCTCCGACGTTTACAAAACGTATACATAACGTCTAAAAAATAAATTAACTATGAAAACCTATAAAAATCTGCCAGTATTTTTGTTTAAATTCCTCAAGTTTTCCCATGGTTTTGCCCTTTAATAAAAAAAAAAAAAACTCCAAATCATACCCGTCTTCCTGGCTCTCCCAGGACGCGGGAATGGGGTCGTCTTCCAGCGACTGGCAAACGGTCACTGCTGACACTGGGATGACATGATATAAAGATATATAGATATATAGATTAGATATATAGATATATAGGTAGATAGGTAGATAGATTTATAGATATATAGATATATAGATATATAGATATATAGATATATAGATATATAGATATATAGATATATAGGTATATAGGTATATAGATTTATAGATATATAGATATATAGATTAGGTATATAGATATATAGATATATAGATATATAGATATATAGATTTATAGATATATAGATATATAGATATATAGATATATAGATATATAGAGGTATATAGATTTTTAGATATATATAGATATAGAGGTATATAGATATAGAGATATATAGATATAATATAGATATATATATATAGATATAGATATATATAGATATATAGATACATAGATATATATAGATATACAGAGATAGAGATATAGAGATATAGAGATAGAGATATAGAGATATAGAGATATGTAGATATAGATGATATAGAGATAGAGATATAGAGATATAGAGATAGAGATATGTAGATATGTAGATATAGATATAGAGATATAGATATAGAGTTTTTTACAGGGACATGGAGATATATAGATATAGTTATGGATATAGAGATGTAGAGATATAGAGATATAGAGATATAGAGATATAGAGATATAGAGATACAGATATAAAGATATAGAGATATAGAGATATAGAGATATCGATATAGAGATAAAGAGATATAGAGATATAGAGATATAGATATATAGATATATAGATATAGGTATATATATACATATAGATATAGGTATATAGATGTATAGATATATAGATATAGAGATATAATATAGAGACATAGAGGTTTAGATATAGGTGTATATATAAATATAGATATATAGATATATAGGTATAGATATAGCGATGTATATAGATATAGAGATATAGAGATATAGAGAGTTAGAGATTTAGAGATATAGAGATATAGAGATATAGATATAGGTATATAGATATAATATAGAGATATAGACATTTAGAGATATAGATATGTAGATATGTAGATATAGAGATATAGATATAGATATAGAGATATAGATATAGAGATATAGATATATTGATATTTATTTATATACAGAGAGATTTAGGGATATAGATATATAGGTATATAGATATAATATAGAGATATAGACATTTAGAGATATAGATATAGATATGTAGATATAGAGATATGGAGATATAGAGATTTCGATATATTGATATATAGGTGTATGGATATATATATAGATAGATATAGATATATAGATATATATATAGATATATAGGTATATAGATATATAGGTATATAGATGTATAGGTATATAGATATATAGGTATATAGATGTATAGATATATAGATATATGGATATATAGATTTAATGATACATAGATATTTAGATATATAGATATATAGATAATTTGTCGTCACGGACTGCGTTACGGGCGTTGGGATTTCGACTGACGCGCATATCGCGTCCAATTCTTATCTGGTGAAAATTCTGGTTATGGGTCAAACGGCAACATCAGACGGTTCCAGGGTTTTCACTTTGGACCCTGGAAGCCACATCAACCCATTCTATTCATGGCTAAATGTCCATCGTTTTTTGATAAACCTGTAGTCATCTTGGAGTAGATTGAATACGGACACGTCAAAAAAACAACACAAATATGTGGGAATATGTGAAGATCTTTGAAAATCCCCTGATCCTACTAACCCTCAGGGTGATTATCATTGCTGATGGCCCGGCCTCTTCTAGCCGACGGGCGCCCTGTGCAACGGCGATGATAGGCTTCGGTTAGGAATTTCCTGTTGGGGGTGTCTTAAGTCGTGAGGAATCCCCAAGTCACCATGGGTTTTAGTACTAAAATTCATCTAATGACTTGAATGACTTGAGGATATCCACATTTAAGGAATTCCCTGATGTGGAACTAAAAAAAGATGTTGAAGCAGCTTCAATTCTGAAAAAAAACAGCAGGCCACGCGTTTGGATAGATGCAAAGTAAGTTCCGTTCAATCATGGTTCCCATCTTTGGCTTACAGCCCTGATATAAATTTCAATTGGAACCGGACAATGGCAGGCACAATCGGAAAAGATATGGAAACTTGAAGGCACATGGGATAAATGGATATGAATGGGGAACTTGGGAATCCATCCCATGCCTTGAAAATATGTGTGCCATGGTCAAAACATGGTATATGGTTTATGGTCATTACATGTCATTGCGTCCCCTAATAGAAATCCCATGAAATCCCGAAATATATCTGTTGTATAACCATGGTTGATGATCATTCCCCCCAGGACGAGGTGACACGTTTTGACTAAGCATTGAACCTTTAGAGGCCCCCAGTGGGACGTCTTCAGGATCCGTGTCTTGACGAGTGCTTGGTGGCTTCACAATGTTTTTGGGACTTACAGATAGTGGATTGCCCATGAAGAAGATCATTGAACTCCCATATACAGCAGATCCAGAATATACCATTATACGCATATGTATATATATATACATAATTGTATACCGTATACATACATATATTTTTCTTTATATATATTATTGTGGTATATGTATAATAATGTGGATCCATTATAGATTGTATACCCCACTGAAGTATACCCACTATATATAATATTGCCCACTTATATATGCATGATATACCACAATCCACACAATCACACAGAGATCCGGAGCTCCATCAGCTCCATAGGGGATATCTCTGCCGCACCAAGCCTCACTGCCATTGATGGCACTGGCGTTAAAGCTGCCATTACCAAAGACCAAAGGAGCCTTGGGCTGTCGACTGCCATGCTGAAGTCACCGGCGCAGTTTCAAACAGCAAAAAGAAACTGGGGATGAGGCCTAAACGACCAGGCCTACCAACCCTAGCCCCAGGTCTCTTATAGCACATCAACTATGGAACTGCGTAGGTCAACTATGGAAAAAGCTAGCGGGGACGCCATGGTAAACTGATAATATCATGTAAAATCAATGAGTTTGGACAAGTAGCCAATCACGGGGTACAAGTAAATCGTGTAAAAACTGTGGCTTGCATGGCGGGCGACACTCAAGATGCACCTTCAACAAGAAGATGCGACATAAGTCCATACCCCCATGGTTTTTCTTGAACTTGGGGACCAGAATTCTGCCCCAAAGCCCGAAGTTCATGGCCCGATTTTGGAAAACCTCGGCCGACAAGGACCAAATAGACAAGGACCGAACCAGGTCTTCACATCCCAGCGGTCCCAGCACTTGATCCGTCATCCCTTAAGATCCCGGCCGTGGTGTCTGGTTTCACAACGACATAGCCGGCGTCTCCGGGTTGAAACTCCTCACCGTCTGGGAGGGATGTCCCCCATTGGAATTTATAGGACCTAATGTGGGTAAAACAATGTCATAAACTATCCCCCAGTCATCACCATTTTTATAGGTTGTATAAACCATGCCCAGTCATGGGTGGTTTATGACATTGTTTTACCCACATAGGTATTGATCTAAAGGTCCGGAACGCGATCAATTTGAAGACTAACCAAAGGTTTACCGAGTTTTGACAAATCGATACGAGGCAAACCAGTCGCAGTGTCTCCCATTCCGCGGACGACTCGCAATCTCCTCGCCAGCGATTCCATCAATGTCAAGGCAAACGCGGTAGCTTTGGTCCACCTTGGCATGTGAAGCGATAGCGGGGTCACCTAACGGGTCACCTGACTCCACGGTCAACTTGACTGAAGCCCAGTTTTTGGAATTCTAGATTAACAATGGACAAACCACCTCTTTCAATGGGTTTGGAGTACCGCTCCAATGGTTTGTGATTTTTCATACCCGCTGGGTCGGGGATTACCCAGCCATGTAGCTGATACCAGAGGCTAAGGAAATTGAGGATGAACCATGCATTTAGTCCCGCTTCATGAATTGTGATCATCCGCAATTTATGAAGGGTAGGGAAAAAAGAAACGGACTTTTCAATGAAACTCGCATATTCTACTTCAGGATGAACATATATAACTATACATAAATCCTAGCTACGTGGTTTTCCCAGTTCATGATTGATGATCATCCATGATCATCTCCCAATTTATGAGGGATCATAAAGGGTAGTGTAATGGATCATAATTGACTACCATATATATATATATTTTATATATATTATATATATATTGGTTACCATATAATAATCCATATATAATTATATAATCTTCACCGACGGCCCTTTTTTGACTGCGCACCTCCAAGTTTCGAGTGTCCACCACAATGAAGTACGCACCTCTGCCTCAACGACGACGCGACGAGGAACACTCAGCATGTCCCAGCATTTCAATGGGGGATGGCTTAGAACCTATACGGTTCCATATTTATTTGCTTGGAAAACCTATGAATTCCCAAAACAAATGATAGAAATCTTAGAAACTATACGTTTCCATATTTCTTGTTTGGAAAACCTATGAAATCCCAAAAAATGGATGAACATCCATGGCTACCAGCTATTTTGATCTATTTTGCGGTGTGGCCAAAGTCTTGACCCACAGCATCCATGTGTTCATCTGTCACCTTGTGTTGCTTTAGGAGGATGGGAAAAAGTATCCCATGTACCCAAAAATGAATCCGACATAGATTGTGCCATATAGTCAAACGGTTTATTCGGATGTTCACCGCCGATTTTTGGTAGCGGTGCCTCCCATGGTTTTTCATTCACCATGCAAAATACCCCATGTTCACCCATCGCATGACGCAGTGGCTTTCTGTAATTGCAAGTTGATTAATAATCCCCAAATAACCGGGTAGGAAAAATAATATATAACAATCTTCCATAATCCCCGATAATCCCCCAAGAAATCCCGAACCAAAAAATCCCCCATAAGTCCCCAATAAATCCCTCCTACTTCCCAGTAATCCCCCATCAATCCCCAAGAATCCACCTGGGGGTGCATCCCCCTTAGTAAATGTGAAATGTGCTGTACCCCCTGTTCGATTAATGAAATACCCCCTATTATTTATGGGATGACATATGGGTTAAATATGGATCATAAACCAGAGATCCGATTCGTTGGGCCTGCACATCCAAGTAGAGAAAGAATACCACTCAACAAGGCTATTTTTCCCCAATACTTCCCAATGGGACGGGGGTCACATTCGCCCCTAAAAGAGGGTCACATTCGCCCCTAAACCAAAAGGGGTCACATTCGCCCCTAAACAACAATAATTTAAATATGTTACTCAACCCTTTAGGGTTTAACCTGGGGACAAGGGGGCTTTTAGGGGGACTGGGGTTTAGGGGGGGACATGGGGGCATATGTTGACTTGTCTCTCTATTCCATATGTTACTCAACCCTTTAGGGTTTAACCTGGGGACAAGGGGGCATTTAGGGGGACTGGGGTTTAGGGGGGGACATGGGGGCATATGTTGACTTGTCTCTCTATTCCATATGTTACTCAACCCTTTAGGGTTTAACCTGGGGACAAGGGGACATTTAGGGATACTGGGGTTTAGGGGGGGACATGGGGGCATATGTTGACTTGTCTCTCTATTCCGTTTAGTGGGGGAAATGGGGGCATACATTGACTTGTCTCTCTATTCCATATGTTACTCAACCCTTTAGGGCTTAACCTGGGGACAAGGGGACATTTAGGGGGACTGGGGTTTAGGGGGGGACATGGGGGCATATGTTGACTTGTCTCTCTATTCCATATTTTACTCAACCCTTTAGGGTTTAACCTGGGGACAAGGGGACATTTAGGGGGACTCGGGTTTAGGGGGGGACATGGGGGCATATGTTGACTTGTCTCTCTATTCCATATGTTACTCAACCCTTTAGGGTTTAACCTGGGGACAAGGGGACATTTAGGGGGACTGGGGTTTAGGGGGGGACATGGGGGCATATGTTGACTTGTCTCTCAATTGACATATGTTACTCAACCCTTTAGGGGTTTACCAAAGGGGCATTTAGGGGGACTGGGGAACCTTTAGGGGGGGACTTGGGGGCATATGTCAACTGGCGACGAGCTACACCTGTTTGCTGCCACATGCAAGCAAGTCTGAAAACACGGGGACGTGGTTCCAATTTTTCCTTCGCCTCACTTTCCATATGCTTGCCAGTATATTGATCCACAGACTCGGCCCCCAAAAAGTACCTGGGGACAAGGGGCCTTTTAGGGGGACTGGGGAACCTTTAGGGGGGCGCTTCCATGCGCTCTTGGGTTGCTCGAACTGGATAGTACAACGTAGCATCCATAGTGTCCTAGAAGTTGATTGAAATGTCTCTTGGAAGGTAACATCCAAAGCGTCTTCGAAGTTGCTCGAGATGGATGTTACAACGTAGCAATGGAACACCGTAGCATGCATAGTGTCCTGGAAGTTGATTCAAATGGCTGTTGGAACGTAGCATCCGAGGCTTCTTCCAAGTTGCTCGAACTGGATGTTACAACGTAGCATCCATAGTGTGCTGGAAGTTGATTCAAATGGCTGTTGGAACGTAGCATCCAAAGTGTCTTCCAAGTTGCTCGAACTGGATCTTACAACCTAGCATCCATAGTGTCCTAGAGGTTGATTGAAATGTCTCTTGGAAGGTAACATCCAAAGCGTCTTGGAAGTTGCTCGAAATGGATGTTACAACGTAGCAATGGAACACCATAGCATGCATAGTGTCCTGGAAGTTGATTGAAATGGCTGTTGGAACGTAGAAAAACACGTGAATATCACTCTCTAGGGTGGAAAAAATCCTTTTGAGGCTCTGAAACTATTGCGCCTGCCACGCAAAAGCAGGGGTCACATTCGCCCCTAAACGAGGGTCACATTCGCCCCTAAACCCACTTCATCCCCCTTCATTTAGGGGCAAATGCGACCCAAGATGGTTTAGGGGCAAATGCGACCCCCGTGCCCTTCCCAATAAATCCCCGTTATAAATCCCCAATAGTTCCCTCAATAAATCCCCGTTCCCCATGAATCCTAAACCCCAGATGTAGTGCATCCCAGCCCTGTTGGTTGATGACTTCTGTCAGAATTTCATGGGGCCAAACAACGTTGATCCAAGCTAAGCACACATAGCTGGATGTGATTCAATGTAAAATAACAATATTTTTGCATGTATCAATATATGTGAATGATTACCCTCTGCTAAACCAACATAACTATGTAAAACCACCATTTTTTGATGGGTAAATCATCTATAAATGCTTAATTTTCCATAGTTGTGTTAATTACCAGCGCGTGTGAATCATCCAATTATCAACCCCTCAGCAATTGCGGGCCCCGAACCTCGCCCAGCCGTCAGAATCGAGGCATCCAAACCGCCCCGAAGTCGCGAGGGTTTCAGGTCCTCCGCTGTGAGGATGTCCCAGCCGCTGGGGGGGTGATATTTGTATAGATAGATAGATAGATAGATAGATAGATAGAGAGATAGATAGATAGATAGATAGAGAGAGAGAGATAGATAGATAGATAGATCGATAGATAGATAGATAGATAGTAAGATAAGATAAGATAAGATAGATAGATAGATAGATTAGATAGTATAGTATAGAATAGAACTGAATAGAATAGAACTGAATAGAATAGAACTGAATAGAGTAGAACTGAATAGAGTAGAACTGAATAGAATAGAACTGAATAGAATAGAACTGAATAGAGTAGAACTGAATAGAGTAGAACTGAATAGAATAGAACTGAATAGAATAGAACTGAATAGAATAGAACTGAATAGAATAGAACTGAATAGAATAGAACTGAATAGAATAGAACTGAATAGAGTAGAACTGAATAGAATAGAACTGAATAGAGTAGAACTGAATAGAATAGAACTGAATAGAATAGAACTGAATAGAATAGAACTGGATAGAATAGAAAAGATAGATAGATAGCTAGCTAGGTAGGTAGATAGATCGATTAGATCGATTAGATCGATTAGATCGATGAGATCGAATAGATCGATTCGATCGATCGATCGATAGGTAGGTAGATAGATAGACAGATAGATAGATAGATAGATTGATAGGTAGATAGATAGATAGATAGATACATAGATAGGTAGATAGATAGGTAGATAGATAGATTAGATTAGATTAGATTAGATTAGATTAGATTAGGTTACGTTAGATTAGATTAGATTAGGTAAGATAAGATAAGATAGATTGATAGATAGGTAGATAGATAGATAGACAGAAAGACAGGTAGACAGCTAGACAGATAGACAGATGAAAGAGAGAGAGAGAGAGAGATGAGAACGCACCAGACACCTCGGAAGACAAGGTGCTTGAGGTCCTGATTTGGGTCCAATTTTGGGTTCCATTTTTGGGCACCGTGTTGGATCCCTACAAGTAAAAACAAAGTAACAAGCCCCAAAATGGTGCCAAAAAACGGAGCCCAAAATTGGACCCAAATCAGGACCTCAACATGCAATCAACAAGGACGTGCAGACATGATCTTCATTCAACGGTCTTCTACCTAGCTATTGAATTTCAACTGTGCGCAACAAACCAACAACTTCAATCAAAGAAGGAAGGGAAACTTAGGCCTACAAAATTGCTTAAACAAAAAGCATTTTTTTACATTTACAAAGTCAACATGGTCAAGACATGTTTTCCTTGCAGAAGATATTCAAGTAAAGATTCACGTGTGAGAAAATCAACAGCATGCTCGCTGAAGTATATATATATACCTATATGTATATATATATATATGTAGATGATTGTATATGTTGTGTGGGTGTATATGTATAGAGAGACAGAGAGAGAGAGAGAAAAAAAAAGTATATCATATTCTTCTTGCATCATTTACAGGACTTCCATTCGAAAGTGAAGGGTTTCCGATTGTAAATTGATATTTGCTGTTAAAGAATCTATGTTAACTGATGCAAGACCATCTCAACCCCGATCCTTGGGGGGTAGCATATATCTATACATACATATGTTCATATAACATGTATATATAAATTATAAATAGATAGATAATGTGTATATGTAATGTGTGCATAGAGGGGGAGAGAGAGATGCATACATGAATGGATGGATGGATGGATGGATAGATGGATGGATAGATAGATGGATGGATGGATGGATGGATAGATAGAGAGAAGAGATAGATAATAGAGATAGATAGATAGATAGATAGATAGATATTATATCAAACATTAGCCTGTTTGTCTGTTGCCATGTCCGTATGCAAAATGTGGAGCCCAGGGGGCAGCCCATGAGCAGCCCCAAATGGAGCCCCAATGTATGTTAAAGACCCATGTTGGGTCTGAAAACAATCAATCTTGGTATGAAACAAATCTCTTG